CTAAAGAACCCAAAATTCCGCCGGACCCTCAAAAACCCTTTAGTGACTTGATCCTAATGTAGTTTCAAGTTGGGATTCGTGTATGCAACCTAATTCTTTTTAATGACTGTAAATGTTATGTTCTTAATGTGTATCTGTACTATTACTACTACTACTACCACCACTACTACTACCACTCTGCTACTATACTACCACTACTACTACTACTGCTACTATTATAACTATACTATTAATAATTGAAAAATTACCGTTAAAAAAAGAAAATAATCAAATTAACACGATCGCCCATCGAACGATCGTAACTTCTCGTTACTAGCTCACCCTTATTTTCTTTTTGTTTTCAGCTGCGCAGATTCCACAACGAGGAAGTAAGTATCCCAAGTCAGATTATTAATAGCTGGAGAGAAATACTGACGAGGGCAAGTGACACACGCGTTATTCCACTGAGAGACGATGGCAACGTGGGTGGGAAAATAATGGCGATACCACTTGGCCTCGTTAGTAAATCGATCGTGCACGACTTCCTTCGAGGAACTTTCTTCCTGCGTCCACCTTTTCCTCGGAACCCCCCATTGCCTGCCCTCCGTTCTCGCCCATCTGCCCTTCGATCCTCCCAGCGCATAAACGAGCACTCTAGAACAATCCGTTTGGTTTCGATCGCTTCAGCATGCAAGAGGAAAGAAGAGATGGCGAGCCAGGCCGAACACCAACAGCCCGCCCCCAAGAAGCCACGGCTGGTTTTCACAGACCTTCAGCGCCGTACTCTACAGGCTATTTTTAAGGTGAGTTTCCACCTCGACTACTTACACTCTGAGAACTTTGATCCTTAACGGCTTCGACAGCCTGGCGCATGTACCGTGCCGGCCATTTGACGGCTCTCTGAGAGGTTAGGAATTAAGTACGGATCGTTTGTGGGGGGGAGACCACTGCCGTCTCCATCCGGATGTCCCAGGTTGTCCCGGATGATCCTAACGGAGTGTCCTTAGGATCCCACTGGATTTCGGCGAGTGACAAGCCGAGTGAAACGTCTGGGTAGCTTAGCTGGTGTAGCTAAAGACTGGCAACTGGCCGCGAAATTATTCAAGCACGATCGATAGTTGAACTCGGCCCGTTGGTGGGCGAGCTTACAACCTGCTCGCAACCAGTTCACAACCAGCTTGGAACTAGCCAATCGAGTACCTTCGCGACCCCTTCCTTACTTATTGCAATGCCAACTCGAAACTCTGTCCTTTTCTGCGGAGGCTAAGTAGCCTGCAGCAAGGCTGTACTGGCTCTCTGAACGGACTAACTGGACTCTGGAGACCTCCCGCAGGACGTTACGTATTGGATATGACAGGATATACGGAAGCAATCCGTCTTCCTTTGTGGGACGTCTTCTGGGCTCCCGATAGGATCTTCCTGTTTGTTGATGTTACGTCGATCTCCAATTCGAATTCTCCTTCCGGTCTTCGAGTTACTTTTAATTCAAATTTTATAGGATTTCGTATTGAGTCTTATAGCTGTACTCTGTTCAGCTGATGAATTCGGGTTGCATTGGTAATTCATAGAGTTGAATTTCATGGAAACGATAATAATCCTGAGGATATGTGTCCGATGGTCGCGATCGATCGAGGAAGTAAAATGCATGCGCCAGGGTGGCCACCCTTTGATAGTAGTTTGATCCCTTGGACGAATGCCAAACCACTGAAACATCCTGCTGAATGACCTTAGCCTAGTTATCTGCCCAGTTACCTTCAAGTTTGAGGAGCGCGTACTTTGAGGAACTTTTTACGAGGAATCCTATGTAAAGTGGCGCCGCTGTGCTTGCAGGAGACAAAGAGGCCGTCGAAGGAGATGCAGGTGACAATCGCGCGGCAGCTGGGTCTGGAGCCGACGACCGTCGGGAACTTCTTCATGAACGCCCGAAGACGCTCGATGGACAAGTGGAAGGACGAAGATCCAAAAACTGTTGCGATGGACGAAGGACAGCTCTCGCCTACCATTGGAATCAGCCCACGGCAGGGATCCGACGTTTTGTGACACACGTCCGACCACGAGGAGTACCACGACGAGTCGCCCGAGGAGGATCTGCCCTTCTCGTAAATCCTTGCCTGAGGTCCTCCGAGCCTCATTTTCGAATCTACGGAGAAAAAATGACGTAACCGGCTTTCGAGTCTACTGCAAGTAGAGAGTGGAGAGGATTTTGAAAAATTTCCAATTTTTCTTCTAATTCAAAGTCTCGACGAGAGCTGTCGGGTGTTTAGATTTTTTACACGTTTTTCGAGAATCTGCAACGATCGCACCTCGGGACCCGATAGATTTCGTCGTTCCTCGTAGACAAGGCCAACGCGTTCATTTTACTCCAAAGGTCTCTAAAACACGGGGTTCCAGCTGTCTGGTAGATTTTGATAATTTTCAAATTTTCATTTTCTATATTTTTCTGCAAAAGAAACGGCGCCTCAGTATTTCCTCGGATTTTAGGCTCTATCGATTCGCATCCAATGTGCCATAATCAGCCATATTAGAACTTAAGGTATTCGGCACTCTCGATCTAGTCTCGAGCGCGCCGCCGTTGTAATTCGTTCTAGTCCACGTTCGACCACGTTCACGTCTAGTCAAAATTTAAGGAACCCACATATGCCCACGCATGTGTGACGTACGTTTTGTGTTACCGTGGTTCACCGTACTACTATCGCTAATACTACTAACCCTGTATCAAGTACACGAGAGAACTATCGAGAGAGCAAGAGGCAGCTGGAAGCCCTTTTGGAGAATATTTGAGATAGGTCAGGGGTCCTAGGAAAGGAGACTCGTAAACTCCTCGTTGGTCAATGAAACTTTTTCAATGGAACTTTTTAAAGAGACAGATAATGCGCGCATGCGCTCTCAAAGTGATAAATCCGTGCGTGTACGTATTGCGTATGTCCGTGGGCAGGAGAGACTCCAGGTGCACCAAAGAGACATTTTCAGAAACCATAGCGTCACTCTTGGCCCAACAATCAGAAGCCGGAAACGCGTCGCAGCGTTCCTCGTGCTCCGTGCGACGGACGCTGGGACCGGAACGACAAATGGAATTGCGAAGAGAGAGAGAGAGAGAGAGAGAGAGAGAGAGAGAGAGAGAGAGAGAGTGACGAAAGAAAAATATAAAAGAGATAAAGGTATCAGTGCACACGCTCGACGAACAGTCGTTATGTATAAAATTCGTGGTACCAAAATGCGGCCGTCACGGTCGCCGGATTATGATCATATATAGTACAAAATAAACATATATTATTGTAATAATGAATATAAAATAAAGATAAACGGGTTAACGGGGAAGCGAGAGAGTGCGAGGGTGGACGGGTGCGTGTGAGCGTGTGTGCCCGTGGAAAAACCGGAAGGGAATCAGGAGTGATAAGGGAAATGGAAAACTCGAGTCATCTCGATACGAGGCGTCTGAATCGGCTGAAAGAATTGAAAGAATTAATTCGAAGAAAGACGCGGCTGACGTCATCGCGTCGCGTCGTCGATCTGCGGCCGGGGAGACAAACGTGAAATCGAACGGGAGCTGTGACGTCATGTTCGATGACTACGAGCTAGAGGTTAGGTTAGGCTAGCGTTACCAACTGTACAGACACACACACACACTGCGCACTCAACACACGTGACACGCAGAGATTCAATACGTGCTTATATACCTTGTATCATAATTCTGTAAATACATTAGTTACGAGAAAGTTTATTAATTATTATTATTATTATCGATAACGATTATTATTAATATACATTATAAATATCGACACGACGTGTTTTTGTTAAGAGAAACGAGAGAGAGAGAAAAAAGGGAAACGCGGTAAGAAGTCGTAGTTAGATACACTTGTAGTAGGGATGGTTAATATAAATATAAAACGTATTGAAAAACTGGACACGCCTAGGTATGAAAAAAAAAAAAAAAGCGTAACGTAAACGGAATACATAGTATAATATATTAATTATAACGACGCACTGCATAAATATATGTATATATATATATACACATATGTACCTACGTTAGCAGGAGTGTGTATATCTATATGTGTGTCTATGGATACAGATGTATAATATATTATATATTATATGAGGAACAGGGATGAGAGTCGAACGGGGGAGCGAGTGAATGTTTTCCATGTGATTTTGAAAAATGATAAGGGATGATAAGGAAAAAATTTGATAGACAAAAACTTAAGAGGGTGGGCGATCGTCACTCGGTCTTTCGTTACCGACTTCTCGCGCGAGTGCGGAAGGTTGGGACGACCTTAATTGATAATATTAAATTACGTTGTAATGAAAATTGATAATCTATTTATATATTACGCTAAAGTATAAAAAGAATGACTTATCGATAGACGATTGATATAATTTTCGGTGGCGATTCGAATGGGGCAGGGTGGGGGTGGAGCTTATAGCGAGTCGATAATATGACGATCGTTGACGTCTGCTTGACAGATTTGGAGCACGTGACGTTTATGGGACCGTTGACAGTGACGGTGACGGTGACAGGAGACGCTGACAGGAAAGAACGATTTCATAGGTAAAAATCTATTTCTCATCCAGTGTGTGTACACGTGTGTTTTTATATGCAATGGGTATAGATACTCGAGGAAAGGCGAAACTTATTATTATTACGGTAATCGAATCGAGGACTATTAGAAAGAGAGAAAAGGAAAAATTGATGGCAATGGAGAGTGGTACATACATGGCACTTTGAAAATTTTCAAAATATTGCGATTTTTCGCTGAGCAGCTCTGCCCACTCGTTCTCCTCGACTCGCCGTGTACGTTGATTATACACTTTTAAATAGATTAATTAATTAAATTCTAATTATTAATCAGACAATTGTCAAGGTACACCTGTCGCGGTGGAGATTGAGAGGTTTTTTTTTTGGGAAAAAATATTAAATTTATCAACTGACAAAATTTTGTCCCTCGCTCGATATCGATCGTGACGCTTTTTGTCGAACGGATTATTAAACATTTAGTCTACTAATTGAGACTGGCACATATCTTATCACGTACGACCTCTTATCGGGACGGAGGGACCGTGAGACTTTTTAATATTTTCATTCGGTCCTGCTGGGTTCGGTTAGAATTGAATTCGGGAGAAAAGTGACAGGGAGGAGAGGGACGAGAGTGGCAACTGCTGACCGCGTATCCGATTAGTCTCTTGCTTCGCGCAACGGCAGTCTTAAAGAAAATAAAAAAAGAGAATATAAGAAAAATAGGAACAAGAATAAAATGAAGAGGAAAAAAAAACAGCTCGCACGACAATAAGGTATCGATTAGTTAACGCGGGAGGAGATAATGTTAAATACAAATTGCAAACCAAGTATACATTATTATAATTAATTGTACTTACGAGGATCATCGTACGGACGAAGGGTCGTGGAGTTCTGTGGGATCTATGGGATCACGGGAGGAGTCATGGGAGTAAATGGGAATTTTTTCTGGAGAAAGATTTTTTAACGCTGTAATTAAAGTGAATAAGGTTGGATGCAGTGGTTGGTTCGCGGAGTGGGAGGGACAAGGGTGGTGGGTGGACATAGCTTTATAGATAAATAAAGAAAAATTAAATTGAATAAATGACCGAGTGACGGAATGATCGGATGATCGGACGAATGAATGAATTAATGAATCAACCGAATGAACGGGGTGCGTGTATGTTGTGTATGACAGGGGAGCCTTCGTTGTGCGTGATCTGGAGGGTTCACAAGGTTGACAGTTTGACAGGTTCAAGAGGTTCACGAAATATACCAAAGGATAGCTTAATCAAATCATTCACTATTTATTGTTTAACAAAGTATCCTAGAGAGAGGCTGCTTTTGGAGCGGATAATGAACCTGGCATTGAGAAAGAATATTATCATTTTACGAGTGTTTAGATAAAACTTGTGCAGATGCTGGAATCGAATTGAAAAAGACGTCGACCGTTTGGTCCGTTTTATGGAAGTGGGAGGAAGTTAAAAAAAGAAAGAAAAAAAGAGGACAGATACATTCCGGGTAACTAGTAATCTCAAAGTAACACGTGGCTATCGCGGTTACGTAATATCGGCGAAACTTTTGCAGAGCGAATTTTCGCAAGCTGCGCGAGGTTGGATGAATTTCTAATTCGATTCCAACATGAAGATGTGTACCTATGTAATAGACACATTGACGATCGAGACGCGAACATTTGTAAACTACTGTAAACTACAATGTTACTACGTTTTACGAAGAGCTTACTGTAGTCGAGAATTATTAAACACAACTTAAGTCGTAAAGATTATTGAGTGTGGCACGAACTTCTTTACACTTTTGCACGAGACGTGTTGTTGTACTTGAATTGAATTATCGACATGTACGTAGAGTTTTATTACTTAGCTATTAAACTTAATTTATTTACCATCCGATCGAGTCGCCTGTGTTAATTAACATAATTCATTGTTTGTTTACCAGCTGTCATTTAGTTAACAGCAATGCAATTATTTATACTCGCTGACTTTCACGTATTTCAGTTTTACTTATTCTTCTTTAAGTCTATTGTGCAATCGACTATGTCAAAGGAGCATCGCCGCGATTAAACAATTATTTTGGCGCAAGGCATCCCCCTCGTTCTCGAACGTTATATTCCCTTTTTCCTCCTAGCAAAGATAAGGGCTTATCGAAATTATCAGTAAGATCCGATATATTCACGGGATCCGCCAATTCCCAGGTTCATCTCGTGCGCGAGCGGCTGCGTGTGCGTCTGTGGATGCCTTGGTCCGCGAGTCAGAAACTCTAGTCGGTCGGAATGAGAGGAGAGAGATGCAAGGTAGAAGGGTCAAAGGGCAGATTTAGGGATTAACCTTAAGTAGACGGAGGAGGGTCGGAGGGAAATTTCGAGAGGGAAAAAATTAATTTCTTGGCTCTAAAAAGAAAGAAGGAAGAAAGAGGGCGTCTTGTTGTTGATCGAAGTGCGAAGAAATCGCACCGCTTGTAAATCGCCAGGCGGGCTACGACAATTATACATAACTGTAGTTACATATAGATTTTTATATTTTCATTTAATACCAAATTAGTCTAAAAGCACTAAAATATTATATTTATACGGAGACCTAGTCTGTTAGAATCGAGTATGAATGGATGAGGTGGCGTGGAGGGGAGTCTCGACGTTGTAAACCGAAATCGATTGAACGGTGATACATATATATTATACCATATACATATATGTGCAAATGCGTAATATACATGTACACAAAGTGACGAGCGAACGAGTGGAGGAAGTGACGAAGAGGAGAAGAGACGCGGAAGTTCAGAAACGGAACACGAATATCCTGGGGAACGTTCTAGAAGGTTCCAGATCCTTTTTCTCCTACGAGTGAATCGATCAAGCGACGAATCAACCTATACATAAATGATTGGCAAAAGGTGGAGAAAATTGAAAATGTGAAAAGCTAGAGAGAGGGAAAGAGAGAGAGAGAGAGAGAGAGAGAGAGAATGTGCATGGGTGTGTGCGAGAGAGAAGTCTTTAGTCGTTTGTATCGTTTAAGCATCAGAATTAGCGGCCAATCAAGTTGAAACGAGAGGCTGATCAAGGATTGTATTGTTTTATCGATTAGCTATCTGATTAAATAGATTAATAAAAAAGATTCCTCTTAGAAGCTTCACTTGTAGCTTCACGATCGGCACGAGATAACTTTGTTTCTCTTACCGTGATTTTACATTGGTGCTCTTAATTGCGCGCGAGTAAACGGGAGAGCGAGAGTGAGTGGAGAAGAGTGGGTGAAAGAGAGAGAGAGAGAGAGAGAGAGAAAAGTAACAAAACGTTGAATTTGTCAAAGCACAACTCCACTGAATAAACGAGCAATAAAGCACGCGGCTCACGAGACCACTTGAATGCTCTTATCATCAGGCAGAGTGCGCGGCCTGTGTTTTGCCAAGAGAGAAACATTGTCGTTCAGTTGTCAAGAGACAGATTTATTTTTATCAAAGTAACAAAGTGTTTGGCAGAGACCAAAGAGCCAAAAAGGAAGTTCGTGACGGCGTTTCACGTCGAAGATCTCACATCTTTGTATCTTCCGTCCGATCTTTATAATTTCCATGAATTTCAAAAGGCCGCGATTCCCGTGATGGCTCTTCCCAAAATAAGTGCGTGTATGTCGTGAGTTCCTTAAATTATAAATCGAGAATTAGGACGTCGTTACGAGTTTGGTAATATAATCAATGTACATCAAGTCGATTCGTAGTCGCTGACTTTACCCTCGTAAGTATTCACAGACTCCAAGTTCATGACGTGTCTGATGACGTGGTACTCGTCGGAAATTCCATTGGCTCCCAGCATGTCCCTGGCCGTCCTTGCGATATCCAGGGCTTTGCCTGCCGAGTTCCTCTTGATCATACAAATCATTTCCGGTGTGGCTCTATGAAAGGTGCGCGTGAAATTCTCTAATCAACTCCCTTGTCTTACTCTCTATACACACTTGTTCTCGTCCTTCAATCTGCCGACTTGAAGACAAGCCTGAAGACCGATCGCTATCTCCGTCATCATGTCAGCCATCTTCTTCTGCACCAACTGATTAGCTGCCAAGGGTCTCTTGAACTGATGTCTTTCGAGGCTGTAATTTCTGGCTACCTTCAAGCAGGCTTCTGCCGCGCCCAGAGCACCCCAGGCTATGCCGTAACGCGCGTTGTTCAGACACCCGAAAGGACCCTAGATTACTTTTATTTATGGGAATATCTATTAAGCATTTTATATAAAAAGACGTACCGACAAACCGACAGAATTGGGTAAGAGATTCTCTTCCGGTACGACAGCGTCGTCCATGAGAATCATTCCTGTTGCCGAGGACCTCAACGAAAATTTACCCTCGATCCGCGGCGTCTCCAACGTCCGACGATTGTCCTTCCTCTCGATTATGAATCCCCGTACTTTACCGTCCTCGCACTTTGCCCAGACGATCAGTATATCAGCTATGGGAGAATTCGTGATCCTGGAAATATATAGGTAAGGCCCAATAGACGTGTCACGTGGTCACGATAAGGTTGACGTTTAACTACTAGCCATGTTTTGCTGCCGCTGAGCTTGTAGATCTTATTGGCAGTATCGAATCTTGCTCTGGTCTCCATGGATCCAGGATCGCTCCCATGATTGGGCTCGGTCAATCCGAAACAGCCAACCAGATCCCCGGATACTTTAAGGAAAGCGTCAAGGTTTGCACTCGATCCCTCGATCTTTGGATCCTTCCTGATCTGTACTCACTGATTTTCGGAAGGAATCGATCCTTCTGATCTTCACTGCCGTACGCATGGATGGCGCCAGCGACCAGAGAAGACTGCACGGACAGGGCTGATCTGTACCCACTGTCGATGGCCTCGACCTCCTTCGTCAGGAGCCCATAGGCCACCGAGGATAATCCAGCAGCCCCGTATCCATTAATGGTGCAGCCAATAGCTCCCACTTCTCCGAGTTCCTGAAAGATACTCCTGTCGAAGATCTCCCTGCGATTCGCCTCGATCACCCTGGGCGCCAATTTCTCTTGGCAGTAGACGTGAAACTGATCGCGCACCATGATCTCATCCTGAGTCAAGCGCGACTCCAGATTCAAGGGGTCCTCCCAGTTGAAAGGGGCTGACAAAAACACAGATCCATATACCTGTATTCTTTTTTTGCTATCTTCCCACACGCGCTCTCAAATAACAGATCTGACGGGTCCAGTCCTATATCGACCTCCCCTCTCCTCCCCGCTCATACTGCTGCATCCCCACCCAACATTCTACGTAAAAAACATACTACCGCCAAGCCTACTCCGAATTCTACTCAGTTAGCACGAGAGTCTCCCAAGTGTCGCTTCGCGCGTCACTACGAGACCAAGTCACGTGTCTCTCTGATTAAATCGTACACTCACCTTTTTCTCCAAGATACGACGAGACACAGAATTCTGTACGGTCGAGGAAATCATTAAGAAGTTTTCATAGACGCAGTGCTTTATTGCCTAGCTTATTTAAAACTTTTGATTTTACAGTCGGATTACGTAACTATACAACCGCTTATCGCGACGCTTCTCTATATGTATATAATCCAGAAGAAATTACGCATCCTCGTTAGGCAGAGGTCGTACGTACTGTAGACACACAGAGAACTCGAATAGGAAAGGATACGCCTTGTCGTAGGACTGGGCTGCCAAGTGTTGACCAGCCTGTTAAGCAAGTTCCTCGCACGAATCGCCATTTTGGTCCACGAGGAAAACAAAGGAGCGTCTCTAGTCGGCACGGATACTTTTATCACTGCTCGGCACTGTAGCTGCCAACCATCGAATAATCTTGTGTTTTTTGTCAAGTGACGTCGCGACGCTCACTTAGCACGCTACACGCGTCCGTCGTCACTGATAGGACGGAGTTATGGAAATAGCGACGAGTCGAACGCACAAGCGTCGCCTCCACTTGGTGGGCCGAGCCAGTCTGGTGGAGCGGGTCTGATCGAGCGCCCCGACGCTCCGACGCCTCGACCCAGTGTCGTAGGCTCGGGTCAGTTTGAGCGATAGCGAGGTAATCGTGTTTCTTATAAATTCAGAGCGTATCTAAACATACATTGTGAAACTGTTGGACGAATTCGAATAATTTAGCGATCGGAGACAGATCGCCGTGCGTTTCATTGATTTGCTCTTGGATCTCCAATGACTGTTATTAAAATATTTGAAAAATTTAAAAAAAAAAAGGTCGAAACCGCCCTCGCACTTTCACACTACGAGGATATCGTCTTTACGGTCAGGGCCGTCCGGCAGCCTCTGGCTGAAGACTCGCACGTTGTGGAACAGGTAGCCGATGGAATCGGCGCACGGCCGGACCAAGGCCTGCGCGAATGCCGTGAAGAAGTTCCTGGTGGCGGCGCACGTGATCTTCCAGACGCGGAGGCAGGGAGCCACGCACCATATGTGCTGGAACAAAGATTGAAGGGGTAGATCGTGGCTTGGGTCGGAGTGACTGCTCGCTGCAAGCTCAGCGAGGTACGGGACTCCGTGTTAGGGGTATCGAGTGTGCACTGGGTTCTCTTGGGGGTCTACTCTGATATCGATCCTCTTTCTCCTTGGTGAACGAAGGGATTCTTGTAGGTAAAGGTGAGCGGACTTACTTCGAATGCGAGACACGCAAAGGTGAAGCCGAGGCAAAGGGCTGCCAGGGGAGCGACGAGGACCGACAGGAAGACGTAGCAACATCCTCTTGAGAGACGGAAACAGTGCCCGCTCAGTCTCCAGGCGCATTCGGGGCTTCTTATGCCGTCTGGTTCTCCGATTACGTCATCCCACATAACCTGCCAATTATTAACTCGGTTTACAGTAATGCGGCTGCCCGATGATCTAGAAAGCAGCTGACTCTTTTTCTCGTGCGAGCGATTGGATCGGTAATAGACAAATTGATTGATCTTCGTCAAGTATATTGGTCCTTTGGACATTCGTACGAATTTCGATGTCGCCGGTGGGTGTGTCGGCGAAAACTGATAACGCTAAGAGCTACTGTAATTATGATAACGCAATCCGAAAATTGCTATTAATTTTCCTAAAGGTTCAGGGTGCTCACGTTAATTTGATTTATCGATCGGTCCAACCAACCTGAAGATGCTGATTTAGATTGTTGGGATCTCGGTCCTCGAGATCAACGACACTTCCGCCACCCATTGACGACTCTGGCTTCTCCATTCCTGCGAAATTTAACTTTTCACACATTTTCGATATTCTTAATATTTTTCTCAAGCGGGAGGGAGTCATTTCCGGTTCTGATATACTTTGCGAATTATCTGTCGATGGTCGCTGGGTCATGCATGGACTGGACCACTTTTTATATTTTCTTCCTCTGATTCACAATGACAACTGTCGACTGACGACCACCTTCTCCCTACTGACTGAGTCAGTCCGTAGAAATTGAGGCAATGCCACGAGCGACACGCTTGAGGATTCAGCTTAAAGCATTTCATTGATTCTTCATATGAAATAATAAATAAAGCGACTTGGTGTGCTACTTCGTAAAAACTAGAGCTTGCAAGGACGATCCTAGGAGACTCTTTATAGGTTCCACCGCTTTCTTCGCTTCGTAAGCGATGCAGACTTTTTGGCGAACAGAAGACACACGCGAAGAAGGTTATTTGGAAGAACCGGAAGACGGCGCCTTCAAACTTACAAATTCCTTCACTGATTGTTATCAAGAAAAGTAGGACTAGAATGGTGCTTGTACTTACCTGATTCAATTCCAATTGTTAGGAACACGTATTTAAATTTTTTTTTTTTTATAATATCACTTCTTGGACTCGGATCTAGTAGGCGGCAATTACTAAATCCAAGTGGACACGTCAGGGTACTTTTTAAGCTTCTACAACAAAGCAGGTTGGTGAACGCGTCGAGAAATGCCGCGATGGTGGACACCGGTCAAGGCGCCTGCGCTCTTCCACTTTCGCCACCCTCCGGCCACCCTCTGCCGGCCAGTTCACTTCGTAACCAGGAGTCACTGTGGTTTACTCGTAGTCTGTCCTCTCCAGACCACCTTCAAGCTCATTCCAAATTCATACGCCACGAGTTAATGACCCCGCACGAAATAAATTTGTAACGCGATAAGATCTGCGTGGTGATAAGTTATTTTATTTAGGACTCTTTAAGACAAATCATTATTTCTCATTTCGCATTTTGTCGGACTCAATATTTTCGGACTGTTTCCATTTCTAGTAAATTTGCATGTAATTGTACTTGTTTTACATATTATATTTCACGAAAATGGTGTTTTCGTTCTTCAACCCTCGATTCTCTCATACAATCGAGTATCACACGCATTAAAACGTGGGCGATTTTAATCACGCAATTTATGACATTAATAAATTTTATATTATACTGGATGAGCAAACTTACCGTCCTGACTCTCGTTACCTCCTCAAATTGATGTTTTCTTTCCAATACTATGAGCACCGTCAGCTCCCCATTTGTTGGATGCATCCGATAGAAACATAATCAGGCTCAGGTTCAGTGAATTTGGAAGGAGCTCCATTTAACAGCAGAAAGATTCAACTGCGAGCTCGCGAATCTTCCAGTCCTTCACAGTTCGCGACTTATCAAGGGACTTGGTTAAGTCTCACGCCAAATACAGGCAACCGGCGATAAAATTATTTCGAACGTAATTTAAAAGTTACATTGTCGAAACTTTAGTGGGTGCACTTTTATTAAAGAATTGGCACTAGTTCAAATTTCCGCCGATAAGGGGGCAGCACCTCCTGGCATGTAAGTGGCGCCATCTCTGAGAGAATCGGTGAACTTTTTCCGATAAAAGTATTGACTTATTATGTATTTGGCATTTGATATAATTTCAATACTTTTGTTAGAGTAATTCGCACATTCCTGTACTTGGCATAGTTTCCTCACGCCCTAAGTGTTGTTTGGAGGTTGTTCATTCAGCAATGAACAGCTTACGCGTGTGTCGACCAAGTAGTAGCTGCTTCCATTCACAGGCAGCAACATCGCCGACGGTCCGTCAGTACGGCAGATTCAAAGCACATGGAAATGCCTGATCTATTTATCTGCCACGAAGACGCCACGAGTCTTTGGTAGGTACAGCAGTTTTGCATTGACCGTTATAAAGCAGTAGAGAAAGAGCAGCTGGTCGGAAAAGAAGGGCGGCGAAAAGGCGCAGGCTCGGGCCGGGTCAGCCATTCGTTTAGCACCGGCTTCATTTTTGCGAAGCTGAGCGGTGTGTGCAGCAAACTCTGCAGGGGCTCGATCTTAAATATACATAAATTATTCAGAGAGGGGGTACACTGTGCAGAGGAGGTACGCCTATAGCTGTGTGTATACGTGTCCGTGGGTGCAATGCAATCAAAGAATCATTCGTAGATCGGTGTTGTGATTAATATCATACCGAAGAAGAATTTTCCTGAGTGTCCAGGACCGTCACAGCTCTCTTCTCTGTTCGCGCTGTCCCAGGGGAACGGCTTCGAAGCGGAAGCTTCGCATTATATAATTTTCGGGATTTTCTTGAGAAACATTATGTATTTTACTCGAAAACGAAATTTACCAATTTGCCTGTATAGTATGAACCGAGAGGCGGGTTATCATAAGTCATGTAAAAATACGCTCTGGGGAAAAATCTAATGACAGTCGAGCTCTTCCTTATTCCGAGCGTTTTCAGCTGCAGGCAGCTCAGAAACATTTCTCATAGTTGTCTTCCTTGAATTTCCCAGGAGTAATGTCACTGCGTGTAGATAATAGCCTCGGGAGAATCCTGGGAGTCACGGAGATACGAGAGAGAGTGAGTGAGTGCGAGAGAGCGATACTCTCGCGGGTCTTTCGTTCTTACGCCGAGTGGGAAATGGACGGGAGATATTTTCACGTTAACTTTCCGGACGACACGCGGCAAGGAGTTCCAAGGCTGAGGGAATAGATAAAAAAGAGAGACGCAAGGCAAGAACGTACGCACGTACAAGCGTCAACTCATCTATGAAGCGGGTCGGATTTATTCGGTAAATATATGTATATATCTTTCAGCGAGAAAAAAAGCAGACAGAAATATCGCTAGTTCTTGAGCAGCAGATTTTCGTATGTGAGCGTACACGAAGGTTCCTAGAAGATGGTGCGTCCGGAGTGACTGCTTCTCGAGAAGCGACGCTCCTTCAGGCAATCGTATTCATAAGTTTGGCAGTGAGAGAGGTTCTGTGCATTGATTCGCGTGATGAGCGTCAAGTTTCGCGCGGGCCATTCAAAAGTGTAACGGGAGTGAAGTGACGTCCGAGGGACATAGGAGCTGGAACGATAATTGAAAGAGAAACGACGCCGAGCGTCGAATTTACGAAAAGCATCGCGAACGCAAGAATGAGAACTCGAGGGCACGAGGATCAGCGAAGCTAGCGGAATCCCGGAGCTTCCTGGCCAGGAATGGAGAGTCCGTTGGAAGCGGAAATCGAGCCTGTTGGCGGAAGTGGCCAGGAAGTAGTAGAGTTTAAGAAGGAAAATGGTGAATTTGTGGAGACAGTTCGAGAAGGAGAGGAGACAGAGAGACAGGAGAATGACGAGAGAACGAAGGAAGAGACTGCGGAGAGCTCGGAGAGCGAAGCGGAAATGGAACCAGCGAGGAGCTTTCACCGGAAGCTCAGTACCAACAGGGATATCAAAAATACGGTGAGAGATGAACATTTATCTAGATAGAAATCCTGATTATCAGGCAAGACAACGTATGGGAGTAGGGGAATGATTTTACTGTAAATGATAAGAAACCTGACGACGATCACTATGTCTTACGTAATGTCACATTGAACATTAATCTCTTTCATTGAAGAATTTCTGGCGCGAATAAAATGGCGCTTTATCCCGAAGAATTGCGAAAAGCTCACAGTACCTACTACAGTACCTATACCTTTTCCTACCACTGGCAATCAGCACCGAGCTTTTCATTAGAGTGGCGCACTTGGCCTATTTTACATTGCACACAGAAAATGGCTTCGCGACTGCTCAAGGCCGTCAACTTGCAACTTTTTTTTTTCCTCATAAAAAAGAAGTTACGGTCGCTGGAAATGCGAGCTAGACATCATGGATTAATTACGATATCGACGGAGTTCCGAACCATTTGCATAATTAGACAATTAGCTGATTAAAGTTCACTCGTTATCATTCTACCTCCTTACGCGCTTTAAATAGAAACCAACGCGGAAGCGTAACTCAACGCGAAAACATTTTTTTTTAAATATTCAAAAGCCGCCTTCCTTTCTCTACAGTCCTGTTGCACGAAGGAGGGTTACCTGATGAAGCAGACCTGGTCGTTTCAGCGCTGGCGTCGAAGATACTTCAAGCTGAAAGACCACACGCTCTACTACGCTAAAGATACCAAGGTAGGTGTCCCATATATCCCATCGGCATTGTTTACTCGCTTCGAAAAAGTACTCTCGGCTAACCCGTCCTCTCTTTGCCTATCGACTTGTTACACATCGTCGCCCTAATTAGAGCAGCCTCGATGGGTTCTCTTTGGTGATGATACGTCCACGTATATATATATATATATATATATATATATATATATATAGCTATATATAGGTATACAAAACAAAAGCGGAACCAACTGAGAAATGCCAGGAGTGAACCGACAAGCGCGAGACGTGCATTCAAATTAGTGAGAATTCGCCTTTCTTTCCTCCGAACGTAGAGACATATTCGAAACTGCGATAAAAGCTCAATGAGATATCTGGGCTGCGGGTAGGTGGAATTGCCAGTGTATATCGTGTGAATACGAATGAGCGGGTTTCGTTGTAAAATAATCTGTACTTCTGTTCGAGCCAGTAAATCACTTTGTGTCGCGCAATGGAAAGTTCTCGTATAATAATGGAATGCCCAGACAATAGATGGAGTCTGTAGTTTGTAGCCTCTGTGCTTCATCCGGCCGTTGGATTTCATATTGCTGGAGACAGAAATGGATGCTTGCGCTATAGTATATATGCGGCTGCAGAGAACTATAGAAGACTGGTATATCTGTAGGTACAGTCGCATTCAACTCATTCAAACTCTCTTGGAGAAAGACTTTCATTGAATTTTGCGGTGCTCCGATTACGGCATTATTTTCTCCATGAAATCGTTCTCGGCTACTGCCAGAGATTTTATTGGTGTTCCTGGGAGGGGAAGACTAAAATGCGAAAAGTTTGATGAACTGACGGCGGTTTTCGAGCAAGGCAGTCCCGGGGGGTGGGGGGAGGGGGGGGGTCTATACAGAATTACATTGGCAAATTTTCCATGCGCGATTCCTCGACTCTCATTGAAGAAACGAAATATCAAAAATGAGGCATTTCATTTTTTACAATTTTTTTTTTTCTTTTTTTTTTTACAAGACTGTACAGAGCTGCGTTAACCCTGACAGCGAATTCCCGAATATACTGCTCGAGTGTCAACCTGAAAAAAAAGTTCAAGCGGTTCGATAGCGGAGCTTGCAAAAACGATGAAGGCAATTTTCTTTTAAACGATCTTCACGATTTTCCCCTCGCTCCCCACTTTCCTTGGACTCTGACATCAGTGTTAATCTGTCCAACAAGTTTTTTCTGTACCCCCTGTCCCAGGTTCCCTCTTCAGTTCACCCTATAGCTGATCGCTACGATTCTGCAAGCCTCTAGGTATTATAGAACGAACTAACGCACTTTTTTATCCTGTTCGTTTTTATCGTCCGCCGAGTCTATGCTTGGAGGATTTGCACTGCTAGGAATGAAAAGTGCCGACGTAAAAAAAAAGACATGAAAAAAAAGAGAGAAAGCCCCCGTTTCGAGAAAGCGTCTGAAATTGAGAGAAAAGTATCATACGAGAGTGGTTCGTTCTGAGCGCTACGGAACGTAAAAATAAAAATAATGTTACAGAATGAAAGGTGCCATATGAATTTCGCCACAGGCCTCCCATCACTAGCAACAGCAGCGCCACATCAGCAATAGTTACGTTTTGCACGTAAATGCGTCTTAGCGTCGGCGTCTTTCATAGCCAAAAAGAAATAGCCGGCCTGTGTTACGGGCGATAGGCACGAAAAACAGGAACAGCCCAGGGAGAAATTTGTTCGTAAAATATTTCGATTTCGCAAAACGGAAGATACTCCGGGCAACACGGGTTCTAGAAAGTGGAGACTGTAATTGCAGCCGAAAGACATGGCGTAGTCGTAACTGAAGTCTCTCAGGGACGCAGGACACTCGAGTAGATAACGCGAGGCACGTCTATGGCTGTGCCATTGTCCGGCCAGAGACCAGAGACCAGAGACCAGAGAGAGTGTCCTTATGCCGTTAATCGATTATTGATAAGATTTATTAAATTCACGAGGTTCGAGTAAAAGGCGTTCCGGCAGTTTCTCAGTGTACGCATTCGACCCTTAAAAAGGGGTCGTCCGGAGGATGTAGTACAAGGTGCACATCTACGCGTAGGTACATCGCGCCGTTCGTGAGGACGATGCAAATGGAGAGGGACACACCTGAGGCACCGTGAGAAGCTCGCGCGCAGAATCCGTTCGATCGGTCTGTGGGAGAGAGATAGAGAGAGGCAGCAGAAGGAGAAGAGGAGCGAGAGAGGAAGGTGCAAGGGAGGGACGCGGATCCTCGCATCCTCGGATGTTTCGATAAACCGACGGGTCGGCGAGCGGTGCGACCAGTACCGGCGGCGACGGCGACGGCGACGGCGACGTCAGACGTCAGACGACACCAGAGCCAGCGAGTCAGCGAGCTGAGTCTTCGTGGAGGTGGCTTGTTAGCGTGGCGGGGGCCTACTGGAACGTGAACTTATTGGGCCTGATTTTGGGCCTTAATTAACTTGAAACTACGAAATCGTGTTAAATACGTTGTATAAATAGAAACCGGTAAGCGACGAATGAACAGTCGAAGGATTCGTGGCCGCGTGAACGTAGGAAGCGTGTAAGGAGCAAATGCGAGCAAATGCGTACGGATGGGGCTGCCGTTAATAGTAACGGGAATACGAGAATAACATTGAAACACGAAGGGAGGATAAAATTGATAATAAATTAAAAAGGTAAACATTCGCCGCGAGACTCGTCAGGCTGACGGGGCACGTCGTGCCGGAAGAGAATCGGGACGCTCGAGACGGACTTGAATTCTGCGGATGACGCTTACGAATTCCAAGGGGAATTCTTGGGGACGCAATGGGCTTGCATAGTGCCAGGGGAATCGACGCGCATCTCCCGTAAGAAGAATTCGCAATTTTACGAGGCGCGGGGAGTCGCAGTAAAGGGGTAAACGCTTTCGGTTTGGCATCGCGGAAACGTCCACGAGAAGTCGGAAGCCGCCAAGGGGTGAGAAGATATTCGAAGCGACGGAAGATGACGTGGATGCTGGGAGGCTAGTGAGGAATTGGTGCAAGTCGGGTGAAAAGATTATTACCGAAATCAGCAAAAAAATTCGTTCCTCGCGAGCCCGACTGCCCGCGTGCCCTATCGGCTCTGGACCAATCCAGAAGCTGAGTGCAATAAGTCTGCTGACGTTTTCACGCGAATAATAAATCACTCTTACGGGATTGACGTTAAAAAAAAAAACTTGAGACGAAAAGAAAAACCTTAAAAATCATTTTGCGTTATTCAACGTGCGAGACGCCCGATGCCTTAACAATGATCGACGAGACGTCGTCCGAGAGAAATTTCTGTATCTAGACTGTGAGATGCTGTTTGACGAGGCAGATGCTCTCGGACGCTCTCAGCCTCCACTTAATAATTAATAATAACGTGCGGTAGTCACTTTAAGAATCCTAATTATAAAGATATACGTAAAATAGAATGACCATTGTCCAATGGGTATATCGACGAAAACTTAAAAACCCCAAAAAAGTGGTTTCCTAAATATTAATTAATCGAAAAGGTCTTGGATAAATCCTTCGAATTTTGAATAAGCAATATATCTTAATTAATATATCTACGTCCAACTATATCGTATTGACAATCACTAAAGGGGTCCTTGCAGTTAACTACTGATTAACGAAGATCACGGTCTAACGCACTAAAGCCCATCTATAATTCCATTCGACTCTAATCTATTCTAATCATCCAGCAAGAAGCATCTCGAGTCGTCCTTCCCTACTGCACGGTAAGTTACAAACGTTTGAGCATCCAGTAGGGATTCTGCGGGAAGAACAAAGAGAATCCATAATGCACGTAAAGAGAAATGTTCAAATTTCAGAAGCGAATATCTATCCGCGCTCGTCCAGCTGGACTTTGAGATGTCAAATTAAAAGCGACAGCAGACGGACTCTCAGGGTGAAGCTGGCTACATCGGCCGTAGTCGAGGGTCTTCGATAGGAATGTCAATTTTGAAATTCGAAACGACGCAGTTCGCTCGAGTCTCATTTCTCCCATCCCTGTCTTTCATCTTCCCCAGCATCTCTGGTCCAGCATCGCGTTACGGACGTCACTCGAGATATCTGAATGTGAAGGTCCAAGGGGTTTAACTAATTGGGACAATGTATTTCCGGTTTTTTTCGCGTGTTGGAACAGTCCGATAAGATAGGCGTGGATGATGGAGCGAATTGCCCGGAAGGGCGGGTGGTGGGAAGGAGAGAACAATTAAACGGTAGAAGGAGGACCGAGCAGATGGGCACGTTTTGGGTATTATTGGGAACTTAACTTTTTGGATAAAAATCCCGAGGTCATTACTTACTCCACACGTTGTTTCGCTTGATAACGCGAAAACAATCACGTCCCACGAACAGCCCCCGTATGTGATTACTCATTAGTCAACGTATGTTTGACCGTGACTCATCGGTTTTGAATTTTGAGGTGTGCTCTCCGACACCTCATGACGCATTCGCAACCCCGTTAAATCCTTCGAGGGAAATAAGAAGTTATTACCACGTGGCGTTCCTACTATTCAGTATTCATAGTCATTTGCATGAAGCTTTGAATAACTGGCAAAGCCCTCTCTTAGTTACGTGTGCTGGGCTTAATTTTACGCTTATAGGGAAAACGTTATCTGCCGCCCGTCCCTGCAAAGTGTTCCGAACTCGATTTTACTCTCCTTGTTATTAAAGACCGAGAAGCCTCGAGAATCTCCTTGGAATTTACCAACCAAACAGCAGCGTTTAAGGTTGCGCCGGAAGACTACACGTGACGCGTGGGGCGCACCGGATTGCCCTCGATTCAACCTTACGGGGAGTAAATTGTCTTATGGGTTGTAAAAAGGGTTGAATTTATCTTGTTTCTCGTAATCCCTTAATTCGGAGGTCTCTGGCTAAAGTGTTCCGCAGGGCGATCAGAATCTACAGACTGCATCCAGTGATGCGAGAGTCCGCAAAATCACGAGTCGCGTAGCTTCGCGACTGATTGAATTTTTCACCATAAGGAAATCGGTCCTTTGGTCCACTGATCTTTCGCAGTCGTTACCCGAGGCTGACGGGAACTTGAAGATGTCACCGAAAGTTTGCGAGAGCAGGGTGGGTGGCGAATGCGAATAAGGCCTAGAGGGATGAAGATGTGAAAGGAGGGGCTACAGCAAATGGACCGGGAGGCTGTCGATGCACGTGGGCTGAGTTGTCGTTTGTGCGGCTGTAATTGCGACTCTCATCCTTCTCGTGGAACCAAGCGAGTTCGAAGTGAAAATCCGGGATTTCTAGTTCTCCAGCTTGGTGCAGAACAGACGGCAGCGTCCCGTTGACCTCCATTCCATTCAATTCCTCCTTAACCCCCTTTCGACCTCCACCCCCACGTCACTCTTCGTTAGATATGCCGGGGCCGAAATAGACCGGCAGCCCTCAGGAGGCTGAAACTTGGGATGAGAAAATATTCACAACTAATAATAATTTCAGTGGAAAAGCCCAAAGCGATTGATATCAATTCTCGAGGGACCGGGAAAAAATGGGGTTGCGTGAGCTAGATCCTTCCTAAGGTTTGACAATACTGGCCAAGAGGGACGCGGAAAGTCTAAGCCCCGTGGTTCGGGCGATACGTGTCTTTTCGGCTCCCCAGGCTGGCGATTCGTAATAATATCCTAAAGGGCACGCACACGGCACTGCGCAGTTTTACGGCGAAAGGGACACGTGGAAGGGCCTTTCCTTAGAGAAGATACGAGGCCGGGAGATGAGAAAGGATGGGGCGACGCCAGGATGATAGGGTGCAAGGACGACTGGGCTGCTGGGCTGCTGGGTCAATGACCTCGGGTGGAACAAAGAGAGTGTAACCTCTGGACCGGAAATTTGCGCAAGACTCGGGGTAACAACGTGAGCCATCATCTCGTGTTCCCACCCCTCGTTCTGTCTCTCTCTGCTCGCCGCCACTTTTCCCGAATAATCCAGTGTCCACGAGCACCTCCTACGGGAAGGTCGATTTACCTGGTGACCATCCTTCGTTATTTATTCTTTTAGCCAAGATGGGAGAGACGGGGTGGGAGACAGTTTTAAGTTTAAAGATGACTTAAACAGAGTACTCGATATTTAAAAATTCGTTTCCTCCTTCCCGAAGGATAACTCGCCACAGGCATTTGTCAGGATCCGAGAGTCAAAATGCGTATAATAAGAGAAAAGAGACAGGATCGTGAAAAGAGAGAGAAAATAATGGCAGTAACTACGAAGTGATCGGGATAACCGAGAAATTGCATTTGGAGCGAATGGAAAGGAAAAAAAAAATAAAAGTCTAGATGAAACAATGGAAAAGCTTTCACTTGCGGATTATCCCCGGGGAGTCGTGTTACTGCTCCGTCGGAGCTTTCGGATGATTCTCGCTCTCTCTCTCTCTCTCTCTCTCTCTTGCCCTGCATTCACGCAGCACGCTCATTTCGGCCACAAAGTGCTCCCGTCGAGTCGACTAGAAAAAGCTCCCAGTTTAGCAATAATCAATCGTGTCTGCCGGTGCCGTAGTCGTCCCTACTCGCCACATGTATTGCGCGTCCGTGGAATCTGATGGCTGCGATAACGAAGCGGCAGGATGTCGTGGCGCGGCAATATTTATTCGATCTGTTTCGAAAGGGAAGGCGAAATGAGGATGGCTGGACTAATCTCACTGGGGTCCCCAATAAATCGAGGCTGATCGATCAGATCGAATCACGTGGAATCTTTTAGATTTTTCGGAATTAGCAATCCAAACAATCGCCCGTTCGGATTAACAGGTGGATTCGGTGGATTCGGGAAATTCCATTTGTCGGATCAGAGTCTGCTTTGCAGGCAGCACGTACGAATCCAAGTAGCGATACGTGGCTGGGTTCCAATTGAATATTTATCAGCGTCAGATGGGTGGAAGGGTTCGAAAGTTCAGAGGTGACGGGAGAAAGGTTCGAGGACGCTGGATGAGCGAGAGATGGATTAAAATCGAAGGATTAAAATATATGGGGCTGCTTTTATAAAGACCAGGTGTACAAGGGTGAAAGGTGCGTTCGAACAATGTAAATGGACGCTTTTAAAATATCGGGCGGGAAATTGAATTTGGCAAAATGGAAGTTTTGAAAGGGGCCAGGAAACGGGGGCGAGGGTGAACTTGCCTCCCTCTTTTAATCAGCCCGTGAATTGACGAATTACGCGATCGCGGGGCATGGCGGGAGTAGGTCAAACGTGGAAATAGGAGGGAGCGTATTTGGATATTTTTGAAAAGGGAGGAGATATTCCGACGCGGAGCGTCTCGACGCCCGACAAAGCCAGGAGACAACGTAGAGCGACGGCATCCTGCAAATGACGGCAAATCAATTCCCTTCGCCGTTCTACCGCTGACACCGAGTGTACAGGGTGCGCCGCAACCCTCCGCTATCCTTTGAGGCCTGGAATCCTCCCTTTGTTTGGCACACTGAGACGTCTAAGCAGTATAGGGAGCATTCAGGATTTTTATCAAGAATTCAATACTATCTCTCCAACTGTCTTGGCTCATTGTCAGTCTACCTCTGGGAATCCACCCTTTCCTGGAAATTCGAATGACAAAGTGCAATCGAATCCTCCGAATCCTCCGAGTCCACGAATGCTCCGAGAAGGAAAGTTCGATCAATTTCCACCAATTGTTTCGTCCCTTCATCTCGACTTTCACCTTCGCAGCCCTTTTGCATCTCCCGTGTCGCCTCTAAAGGATCGAGGGACAGGTCGTCATTATACGCGCGTAGAGTATGCTGATAGGGAGCTGCCCACAAAATGCTCTACCCTTATCAGGACCAAATTGTGCCCTTCGACTTCAAAGAAAATTACTTAAACTTCTACAGCTGGTCGAGTCAGTAATTGCTTTGGACTTCATGCACTGTTTAGCTTTGAAAGCGCGACTCGCTACCGCCTGGAACCTGCCACCCCATCCCGATCGTCCTTGAGCAATGCGGGCGAGTTGTTGCACCAGGCGATCGATCGCTAATTTTCAATTCGACTGCTCTTCTAGGGCGAAAGGTCACGGCGCGAATGGAAATAGATAAAAAAAAAGGCATCAGAATTACTTAAGCAGGGCGTGAGGCTTTCGAGGCTTTCGAGGCTTCGGGAAAGGCTGTCGATTCGCGTATCAGTTTCCGAAAGTGAGCGGCACGACTTGCCGAGGTCAATGAACCCAGAAATTGCTTCATGATTTGATAAATTGATTGGAGAGCCATAACTCGGGCCTTCCACTCTGCTCCCTTCTGTCGGGTCGCGCACCCAGCCGAAGCTCCTTCAGCCCCTGATCTTCAATGACAGCGCTAACTTTTCTTTGCTTCCTCATTTTTCAGGCAGCCATCTTCGACGAGATCGAGCTGATCGACCTGACGTTTGCGGAATGCAGCATTAAGAACGTGAACCATAGCTTTCAGGTGAGTTCACCTTCTCTTTTGCGCTGGCCCCGCCATTGGTTATTCCTGTTTCCATTTAGTTCCCTCGTAAAGCGAACAAATAGCCGGCTATTAATTCTCTTTGAAAAGTCCATTGATCCATTTCATCTCAGGTTGGCTGGTCGCCAAGAAACAAACAAAACAGCAAAGTCCACGGCAACCCGGAAATCATAACGACGTCAGGCGTCAGTAGTCGGCCGTCACGTTGCTCCGTTTAATTATCGAAGGGAGACAATGCCGTCGCTCGAGACTGGAATCTCGAGAATCTCCGGAACTGGAATAACATAAGCAGCGCCCGCGAGCCTCGATGGGCCAATCGAACTATGAATGGAGCATGTGCACAGTCGGACAAAAGAACGTTTCATCCCCTGGCACATTTAGCAGCAGCTTCCTTTGGTCCCTTAATTGCGCATTCTTCAAGAGACATAGCTATACGTATATCGTATGTACTATCGAGTAAAGAGCCGCCTTGTTCGTTCGTTGGCTCGATTGTCCTTTGAAAGGACTCCAGAACCCAATAGAGATTTACTTGATTTTGCGGAATACGAATAAACTCGGCTGTTCGGTCGGCGACATCAAGGGCTGCAGCTTAATCAAACGGAATTATATAATACTTCGTTAAGGGTCGGTTACGGACGACTTTACGTCGGTATTACGGGCTGTTTTACTCGGTTTACTCTCGTGCCAGTTTTCTCGCTCGACTGGCCAGATAAATGGTGGAAACTCCGGCCGAGGTTTAATTAACAAGCGCGGCCACGATAAATACGCCGTTTCGAAGGTTCACGGTCGGGAATCGGGGAAGGAACCAGCGATGCTCGTGGAAAAGGAAGGAGAGGCGAGAGGGTGCGATTAAAACTCAATTGCTCATATAAAGGGAAGACATGCGCCTCGTCTCGTCTCCTTTTTCCTCACCCTCGTTCTTCTACGTCTTTCTTTGTCATTCTCTTCTGACAGACAAAGTCTGGCTTACGGAAACGATCGGCCGCTTTGAGATTAGGAATCCTTATTGACGTTTCCAGAGGAATAAGGAGAAAGGACAAAGGTTACCTAAGAACTGAGTCTCCAGGAAAATGAGACTGTATCTGTACAGATATCTTCGGGGAGAATTTCCGCTTCGGAAATTACTCAGATAAATGATGACGCGAGTCATCGATTTCGCTTGGCTTGTTTGATCGTCGAATCCTTATCTAATTCTCTGGTCTGCTTTGGACATTCGAGAGAATTTATAAGCCAGTTGAAAGTGAAAATTCTTTTATTATCTTTTTTACGTCCCACGCCTTCACCAAGCGATTCTAACTTCTTAATCGACTTCAACTTGACTGCCGTGAGAAAGCAACACGTGTATGATTAGGTCATAAATCAATGAGTCATTCGATGCTATAAAATACGTGGTAATGAAAGGTTATTGATTTTCGATTTTAATGTCACGACTCATTCGCCTACTCGATTCGTCGGTGTGACCATAGTCATATTGTAAATCTGTTAGATTGTGCTCCGCAGCCAGTGACTAGCTTGATTGGTAATTGCCAATGTGAGTTGAGCGGAGGTGGAGATATTTGAGATTTTTGAAAAAAAAATTTCAAGTTTATCATCTTCATTGTGGAAGCTTGGACGCCGAGAGGTGAACGTCGGGTTGCCTTTCGGTAGGCGCATCCTTTTATTCAAAGCACTTAGGATGATATAGGATTTATTTTGCAATTCTGTTTGACTGAAAGACAAAACATCTTGAATGGTTTATAGCTTTTTATGCTTGGTGATGCAAAATATTTAAGAATTACTGGGGCAAAAGTACGGCTGCCTCCTGTGAGGTTTGAACTCACGACCCCTGGTTTACGAGACCAGTGCTCTACCACTGAGCTAAAGAGGCTTTTGCGTTTGTGCTCGTTCAGATCTCTAATATTGAATAATACATTTTGTTATGATTTGACTTTAAAACTGTAGGATTGATTCGGATATACTATCAATAAAATAAGGAGACATAAAGTAAAGATGCGATCAATTTGAGACGGAATCGGGAAAATTGCATTGAAACAAGTATTCGTGTATTTCATTTTCGAAACGAAAGTTATGTTGGCAACCATGACCCGGTATTAATTCGCGCAATGCGATTGAAAATTCTATCGTACAAAAAGAACCATTTCAATGATAACAGACAGCTGTCAGAGGATCGATTACAGGACTTCTTTATCACTCAGAGATGATAATCACGCGTGTCATAAAGGTTGCTGATTATTTGTAAATACTCTAGTGTGACATGCGCCATAGAAAATAGGGCATAGGACCGCATAATGCGGAGAATTTTGATGTTAGCCTAGGTTTATCTACATGTTACCATTCGCGGGCTTGATAACCTCCTAGCGTAACAATAAATCACCCATATATTATAAATAAACGTAACAAATGGTCTCTTGATGTGTTCATATGTTAACTATTAAATCTTAGCTCAAATGCCACCGCAACAACAGAGAACTCGATCGCGATTCAAGGTACTCTCACCAGGTTAACCTCAATCACATTCGGAGGCTACGTTGGACAGAGCGATGCTGTAATAATTACCCCCTGTCCCCGTAACTGGCTTTATCAGCAATTTTTATCTTGCGTAATAAATAATGAGCCACTATTCCCGGGGTTTCGCACACTCTGAGATTGAGTTCCAGTCATACAAGACATTCTATCGTGTTAAATATGCTCAGCGTTACTTGTCGTTGGTGCTATGTTGTGTTTTGGCAGGTTTGCTGCGTATATCTGTAAAACAATATAACATTAGGCAACAAAACAACAATCGTTACTCTTCTTCTATTCGGTTCTAGTACTTTAACTTTTCTCCTACAATTGCCTTCAAAATGTATCATATTCAAAACAAGTCCTTGACTTCTTTATGTGTTCCAATCTGGACCAATCACTTTACTGATTACCTCAGAGACTCTGATCCTCTCTGTATTTTACATGATGATAGATTTAGGAAGGATTACTTTGCAAGGAGAAAATAAACCATCGCTTAATATAGACGTAGCAAAGCAGAAATCCCTTGTTGCATTTCAGCTAATGGTGACAGTAGTTCCCATAACTTTGTTTCACAGCAGCTCTGTTTATTTGAAGTGGCACAGCTTATTTCTTAAGACCCCTCGCACATGTTTCTTGCTATCATTGCGGAGGTACAATTGTTCTGCTTTGTATTTCAGGTGATAACTCCATTCCGGTCGCTAGTCCTCTGTGGGGAAAGCAGACAAGATATGGAGGAGTGGCTCGGTGCTCTGAGAACTGCCAGCGAAGGTCGTTCTCAGGGAGATCCTGGAACAGCAGAATTACTTGGAGGAAATCACCATTGGTATGCCACAAGTCACGCAAGACCAACCTATTGCAATGTCTGCAGGGATGCTCTTTACGGTATGACACTTTTATAATGCTAATCACGAAGTGTATTTCTATTGTTTCTTAATATCCGTACAGGGGTCACTTCGCATGGCTTGAGCTGTGAGGTGTGCAAATACAAGGTGCATAAAAGATGCAGCGCCAAAGCAATAAATAACTGCAAGTGGACCACATTAGCATCAATTGGCAAAGACATTATCGAAGACCAAGATGGGGTATTTATCCAAACACATACTCAACGAATGGACTATCAATTCAAATTCGTTTTTTTTTTACTTGCAGAATATCACAATGCCACACCAATGGATGGAAGGTAATTTGCCGGTCTCCTCCAAGTGTTTTGTCTGCGACAAAACTTGTGGCTCTGTACTCAGGTAGCGTACCAAAGATAGCTGGACATATATTGCATTGTGTTTTTCATCCATCTGTTTGTAGTTAAGAAACGTTTTATAACATTAGTTCTAAATAGAAAGAAGTCTTTAAAATAAAAACTCTTATTTAAATAGACTTCAAGACTGGAGATGCTTGTGGTGTAGAGCCACAGTTCACACAGCCTGTAGACCAGCCATAAGTGTACAGTGTCCCTTAGGACCAGCTAAAGTCAGTGTAGTGCCTCCTACAGCGTTACATAGTATAGGTACGTAGAATGATTTCTGGAATGATTTAGAGAAAGTTTTCAATATATTCAAGATGCTCTAAATTAGGTAGTGACGAAGCTTGGGAAGCGGTGAGACCGACCGGGTGTAGTCCACTCTTAGTATTCGTGAACAGTAAATCTGGTGACAATCAAGGAATAAAGTTTCTTAGACGATTTAAGCAATTGCTGAATCCGGCACAAGTATTTGATCTGATAAATGGAGGGCCAGGCCCAGGGTAAGATATATAAGTTTCTATAAACCATATAATCCTCGAAAAGCATGCGAGTCTAGTAAATATTGCAAACAAACGCGAAAAGAGCGATCGACGATTCGGTAATGCGATGACTCGATGACTCGATGACTCAATATCATCGTACACGATGTGCAAGGTCAGGAAAGTTAAATCCGTGTGATGAATAGGCTAAGACTGTTTCGGCACTTCGACCCGTTCCGGATTCTGGTGTGCAGTGGAGATGGATCTGTCGGTTGGGTCCTTTCGGAGATCGATCGGTTAGGAATGCACGTGAGTAACAATAGGAATCTGCACGACGATCGTCTCCTACTTTTCTTTCGCTGCATCGAACTTTTGCAATTTCGTTTTCGAGCTCTCTAACACGTCTTCTTTTTATCTCTTCTCATGCGCGTGGATGCCGATAGGATCGCTCTATCGAGCCAACTAATACTTTTTTCTCTAGCATATCTGTATTCGAAACTTATGATTACACCTGTATGTCGTGTCTTTTTTCTCATCTTCTTCTCTTCTTTACTCTTCTCTTCGTTGAACTTTTTATTCAGCTGGATCTTTTATATAGAAGATCTCTTACATGTTTTTCTGCTGTGCATCTCTTGCGTTCTTTCTACGTTTCTTTCGACTCTATCGTCCTGCGTTTTTACGGCATGGCGTGTCTCTTCTATTCTTTCGTTTCAGATAGCCGAAGCGTGAGCTTTGCACGTCCTTATTTGCGCTATATTTAGCTAGCTTTATTTGCAGCCGGTAAGTAATACGGAAAGTGTTTAATTATTAGTACAATGAGCACATTTTTTGCACGCGTCTTTCCTGCACTCGTAAAGTCTTATCCTTCCTTTTTCGACCTGAAATGTTTTCATTGCCACGTAGAAGCAATGCCAGGTGGGCGTGTTGCCCCTGGGAACGGGAAACGATCTCGCCCGAGTCCTGGGATGGGGTGCATCCTGCGACGACGACACCCATCTACCTCAACTTTTGGAGAAGTACGAGAAGGCTGGTACAAAGATGCTGGACCGCTGGAGCATCATGACGTTCGAGCGCAGCATATCCTTGCCCTGTCCAAAGATGTCGCTTAGTCAAACGGATCCAGCGCTGAACAGCACAATGGTTCATCAGTACGAGGACAATGTTCTCTCTCACATAGCCAACATCCTGCAGGCTGATCAAGACAGCATAATCTCGAGCGCCAAGTAAGAAGAGCGCCTAGTTCTGTCAGAATCATCTGTGGAGCTGCGATTCAAATTAGCCAAAATTCTTTAGAGTTCTCTGCGAAACCGTTAAGGATTTCGCGACACGAATTCTCGACGCCAGTATGAGCACGGAGGACCAACAACTCAGCGAGAAGTGTGACGTACTTCAGCAAAAATTGGATCTACTCTTGCAGACGCTTTACAGTGAGGATAATTACCTATGGGACAATATGGAGCCTTCGAGAAAGCTATCCATGTCGGCGGTGGAGCAGGAGAAGGGAGCCTTGGAGAAGCCAGAGAAAGACATGACAAATTTGAGAAAAGTTCGCCGAAACAGAGAATCCATCAAACGCGAAGCAATAATATCAAGGTACAAATAATTCAATTCGATATATCAGGATATCGCAATTTTACGTATTATTTCCTTTCAGAGCAAACAGTCTAAAAAGAGCCATCAGACGATTGGTGGAGCACACCGATTTAGCCGTGAATGAGCAAAGTAATTCTCCTGACACTAAGGCAATAAACAGGATGCCCAATATAATGGTCACGTCCGAGGATGGTATCATGGCTAATGAGTACTTTGTTAAAAATAAAAAAGAACGGCTGGACATTCCTGGATTACGATCAAACAACATAGATAGCCTACAAGTAATGCCAACGATAGAATCCACGAGCGTTTACCACTCGTCGCCGTGTCCTAGTCCAACGCCCAATCTCGCGTCGCTCAGCCCGATGCCGGATTTAAGGAGGGATTCCCAAGCTGAAGAAATGTTGACGTTACCAGCACCAGATGGTTTCGCTGATAGTAGGCGAAACAGTTCGAACTTGCCGCAGGGGTAGGCGATGCTTTATAACTGAATGCATAATGTATCACTATCCAATGACAGTTTTGGTCGAATGATGTTCTTTATACGTTTAGGGTTTTCAGTTTTGATGCTCCAGTGATTGAGGCGACGATAAAGAAACTTAGTGAAGAGGAGGAAAAAGCCAGGGATGCTTCTAATGACGAACAGATCAACGAACATACCCCGGTCGAAACACCGTCGGATATCCAAGTAACAGTGACCAGCACAACATTAGACACCAGCTCACCTTCAGATGATACTACTATTCAGGATACGATGATCTCGCCCGATACAGATTCTGCAAATTCACGAAATATCTCACCGGAAAGCATGCGCAAGTCCGAAAACAGCAAGATGGACACTTCTCGTGGAAGTTGCAGCAACAGCATAGTGAGTTCAGACAGCTTGGATTCGCGAAGCTTCACGGTGAAAAACAGCGAGAGTGAGATTGGTAAGATGATCATGGAAGAATTCTTGTAGCACGAGTGGATTTTCGTGCAGCAATCTAACCGATGTCATTTATTCGAATAATCTCGCTGACCATTTCCAGGACACATAGACAGCGATATCCTTGATACTACTAAGCATTCCGACAGCTCTGAAATTGGACATATAGACTCACCTGAGAATTCGGATATGTGCACCAGCGAGATTCAGAATTCCGAGAGTATAATCGACGACCTGAGTTCTCTCGGGCAGGATCTAATTAGCGCGATGCTCGGAGAAAAATATGACTCCGTAAGAGAATGTCTCAAATCGGAACAGTTGGAGAAACCGCAAAAATATTGTAGTTTGGCGCAATTCGTGGAAGGGAATGACATAGCCAGGAGATCTTTTAAAAGATCATCGAGCAATGCAAATAAGATCGACAAAGAGGTACGTTGGAACCAGAAAAACATATTCAGGCACCTTTCCTTCATATCGGGAAGAATTCAATTAATATTTTTTCGCAGGTGATGTCTAAAACGAAAATAGCCGAATCGACGACAGACCTGGTGGAAACGGTCAATATGGCAGATTCGAAAATGCCACAAGCAACGACTTTCAAGGCTCGGGAAAGTGAGAAAACTTCGGATTTATTGAGTCCAGTTTGCTGCTTCACAGTAGCTTCGCAATACTCCGCTACGAATGAAGAGTTACCCCCAAAATTTCCTCCTACGATAAGCGTTATCGTCGACCCACCCAGCCCTTCAATGTCTATCGAAAGTCATCATGAGCCTGATATCGGTTATGCAGTAAATTCTCACCTGAGAAGATACAGTGGTGATAGCATGGAAAAATGTGAGTCGATCCGCATAATTAAATTCATTCCCAGTCACAGCTTCTAATTATGTTTAGTGAGTGTCGAACTACCAGAAATGGGCTGTTCTCCACAAGCGACCAGACGTATCAGCAGTGGCAGTTTGTTGAAAGCTTCTGAGGTCGTTTCCCTAGCAGCTAGTGCAGCCAGGTTCGGAGGATCCAGTTTGAGTTTGCGACACGAACGAGCAAAATCCGTGGACAAGACTGAAGACGTGAAGAAACTTCCAATAATCAATCCCTTAGTTCAACTCCCAATGTGGCCAAGTAAGTAAGGTACTTAAGGATGAAATTTGTATCCTTTCCTGGTGTTTAATAAGAAAATTCAATGTGCACAGATGTGGGTGGAGGTGCTGGTTTAATCAGTAAAGCATTGCTGGCCAATGCGGATGCCCTCTGTGCTGCTGTTTCCCCTTTAATGGATCCGGATGAAACTTTAATGTAAGTTCGATATCCGGGAGATTTAATGGATTCCAAATTTGGATATATCCTTTTAACTCTCTTCAAATTCAATCGATAGGGAGGGCTATTATGAACGCTGTGTAATGAACAACTACTTTGGCATCGGCATAGACGCAAAAATCAGCCTTGATTTTCATCATAAGCGCGAGGAACACCCTGAGAAGTGTCGCTCAAGGGCTAAGAATTACATGTGGTATGGTGTTCTTGGCTCTAAACAATGGCTACAGAAAACTTATAAGAATCTGGAGCAGCGAGTTCAACTAGAGTGTGATGGACAGAGGATACCACTGCCCTCTTTACAAGGAATAGTAGTTCTTAACATTCCTAGGTGAGCGTTACTAATTGTTCTTTGTCATTCTCTGAAAGGCGAAAACAACATTAGAATCTCATTTTGCGCAGTTTCATGGGTGGCACAAATTTCTGGGGTGGCACCAAGGAGGGTGACCTTTTCTTAGCACCGTCATTCGACGACCGCATTCTGGAAGTCGTGGCTGTCTTCGGGTCAGTTCAGATGGCTGCATCGAGACTCATTAATTTGCAACATCACAGAATAGCACAGTGTCAGACTATTCAGATAAACATCTTAGGAGATGAGGGAGTGCCTATTCAGGTCGATGGGGAGGCTTGGATTCAACCACCAGGAGTCATCAGGATCATTCACAAGAATCGGATGCAGATGCTTTACAGAAACAGGGTGAGTCAATATCTCATTAAAAACCATCTCACCGATATACAATGATTCTTACTGGAATGTTTCAGGCCCTGGAAACTTCCCTGAAGACTTGGGAAGAGAAACAACGAAGCACAATTGCAACATCCTCCCAGTCTACTTCGACCCTGAGCAACACGTCTCAGTCGCATTCGCGTAGTCAATTGCAGCTGGATGGAAAGTCATCGCATCTGACCGAAGAGGAGCTCAACGTTCTTTTGACATTTATAGAGGTTGTGACGACACTTGTAAAGTGGGTGAAACTCTTAATAATATCACATCCAAGTCTGGAGCCGGAACTATATCAGATCGCGTGCAGAACGGGCATTTTACTTGAAAATGTTCATCCAGATGGGAAAATTTTGCAAGGGGTCAGTAAAATCTTTAAGGCTTCAATTGATACAGAACTTTGAACACTCTCTTTTCTGCTACAGCCAAGTCTAAGACCGGTAGTGACAGAACTGGTGTCAAACGCGAGGCAGCTCTATGAGGAATCCTGCGAATTGCTCAGGGATAAGGCACACAATTTGGTAAGTCGCTTTTGATATGGGGAATTCCGTGAAATATTATTACATGATTGAATTATCCGACAGAGGCTACGAGAAGATCTGGAAAACAAATTGTCAGTTTCCTTGGCTGCAATGGAGCAGGAACTAAGAAAATGTATCTTCGACGAGGGTGGAACAGGGCTTGTCTACCTACAGAATATCCCACCCGACGATCAGGTATAAATTAGAATTAGATTAACTTTGCACCAGTCAATCAGTCAAATGTTTATTCGTGAATATCGTAAATAACGATAGATGCAACTGAATCTTAATACGTGATTAATCATTGTTCTGTGCTTTGGATTTCGGATTGAGTATATCTCGACCCCACGTGGTAATATGCCTTAATAAATTTGAATGTTAGGAGAATTAGCGATTAGCTGTAGATGGGAATGAAAGTCTAGAGTGTGTCTTGGGCCATGCACATACGCGCGCTAACGGGACAGAGCCTGGACAAACTAATAGAATAATATAAATGTTGAAAGATGAGCATGGGAATATGTGTCGCACAGGATGAACGTTATATGTACATATTAAAAACGTAACCCGAGCAATTAAGATAAAGTCAGATGTAAAGGGGGTAAAAAAGAGAGAGAAAGCCGTAGCTTAAAGGCTGGTCCGCTTACTAACGCACTAACAAACTTAACCGAGTCCTTAACTCTGTATTCACAGGGCGATAAAAAGAATCGTCATCGCGGCTTGTTCTGGTTAAAGTTCCGGCGATTAGCAGCGACAGCCGGAAATCATCCAGCGAGGGACCAAGTGACGAACTGGGGCGTTCCCGAGGTCTGCTCCTGGTTGGAAAATCTTCAGCTGGCTGAATACATTGAGCAATTCGTGTCGCATGACATTCGCGGCAGGGAACTGCTCACTCTGGCCAGAAGAGATCTCAAAGAACTAGGAATCACGAAAGTGGGCCACGTGAAGCGCATACTTCAGGCCATACATGATCTTAACAATTAAGAGAGAAGAGAGACAGAGAAGCAAAGAAGAGAAAAAAAAAGCAATTCAGCATGGGGTAAGAAAGAGAAAATCACTACCCTTCACTCTCGGCGATCTTCGTCAGGGCAATAAAGCGCAAATCCTTACGTACAAATTGTTGTGTAATGGAAGAAAACGAAACAAGGAAGAAAACGTAAACGCGTTTCCGATTTGAAACGATACGTTTTTCCTCGATATTCCATTCTTTAAAAGAAGTAAATCTAACCGGTACGTCTTACGCGTGTGTTACTCATGCGATTTCTTTCCAATTGCTTTTGAGGATTCAAGGAAGATTTTATTCTAAGTGGAAGGGCTCTTGTGGACGTTGTCCAAATATCCGGTTGCGTTGTGCGCTCAATTGAGTCATATCCGGCTGGTACGTAGTTAGATAGATTGAGACGCGGAGCACTCAACGGAACCATGCTGAACAAAATTCTATCATACAGATTTTTATCAGATAAGAATGTTGTGCCAGAATTGAAAACCGGTGTGGAATTTAATCGTCTTAATGCGTAATCACATGTACGTTGATCTCAAAACTACGTTTTAGGTAGAATCTCGAGTGTCGAGCACGTCTTCGTGCTGTTCTTTAATTCTTTTGTATTACTTATTTTCTTTATCGTTTCCTTATTTCCTCTTTCTTTTCAATTGGACTTTTGTCTCCTCGAAGTCGAGACTCTTCTATGAAATTTAATTTAAACTAATAACTAAAACATAACCTCGAATCTTCCCGACTTGTATCATAAGCTCTTCGTATGTTAAATGCTATTAATAACTAGTTTTTAAGTATTTAAGTATTTCTTCGTTTCTCTTAGGAGTTTCAATTTAAAAGAGTCATCTTAAGAGACACTGATTAAACACTTTCCTCTACGTCTTACGTAGTGTCTTGTTCTAGGTCGTGCCAAGTCGGCATTTCCAGTACGTTGTCTCAATCTAGAGTCGAGTGAACTATATCAAAGCCAGCTGTCACTGGCGTGAGGTAAATAGGAAAGAGGAGATAAAGATAAATGAAAAGACTCTCTAGATACTTGATACTACTGAGAAACGTCAACTGTGCACGAAGGTTGTTATAGCTCTTAGCCTTTTTTACAAACTCTAGTATTGTAATTCCTAGCGTTATACGTAACATACATACTATACTAGTATTTATCTATGGATATTTAGAGTGTAAGTACGTTCAAAAGGATATTTGTAAGGAATCTTTCAGGGCGTGCGGTATGAATTCAACTAAGAATTCAAGTCATAATGTCATAGTGTCACAAACCAAAGACGAATGAGCAATCAAATGACGGCGCAATAAAGTCAGTATTTTTGTCGATGTCGTCGAGGCGCTTCGACGACGACAAGTGCGTTCGCGTTAATCGTAGCTAGCAAAGGAAGGAAAGAGTGAAAGCAAGAAAATTAGCAGCAAGAGAATAAAAGGAACAAGAAGATAACAGTAATTTGCCTTGAACGAGTTTAATGAACGACTCTCGTGTTAAGCGTTCTTTTTTGACGTATCGTTACTAAGCAATCGCGAGGAAATTAATGAAAACCGTTTATATGAAACGAAAAGCATAGGATGGCTAAGAGGTGAACATGTTCCGCGTTATTCGTCCAACGAATTTACGGGAATCTGATCGTTGAATTATTCGTAGCATTTATTCCTTTTTTCTTCTTCCTTCTCCGTCTTAACAGACAGAGGACATTTGGTCAAAGGTCATGAGCGATAGAGAAAGTTAAAGATAGGGATGATTGTAAAGCTCCCTCGGACGACTGAGATAGTAGAAGGAAGCTAGATCAGTTCTCGAGTCGTAAGACTAGATAGAATTATAATAATACGTATAATCGAATTATTCAAGATGGTGAAGGAAGCGCGAGTCGCGAACCAAAGGGATGATGATCGTAGCCAGTGATTTTTCTCGATCGAATCGTTAACTTATAATTAATAAAGGAGGATTGCCTATATCTCTTATAGGTGATACTCTGATTAAATGTATTATATCTTCCAAGTTGTAACGAGTGTCCTGCTCCTAATCTTGGAGCAGGGAGACACTTACTAAAGATAATTCCCAAGATGGTAGACAGCACTGCTCTACCTACTACATCTCACTTGCTCTATTTACTCGGTCCTTTACCCGCGACTCTCCCTTCTACGTCTCTCTTTCTCCTCTTCGCTATTTCGCTGTACATTCAAGTCAGGGAGAGCGAAGCACACACTCTTCAAAGAGTGTATCGCGATTCCAACAGTCTCCTCTTGAATCTGTGATAACTTATACTTAGTTGACTCGAGTCTATACTTATAACGGAATGGGAGGGAGGATAAAGAGTCAGCGATAAGGAAAGAAAGCAAAGCTTTGGAGATAATAAATTGACGCGATGGGAAAATAAGGGAGAGAAAAGAGGAAGAGGGAACGAAAGGGAATGCCTCTTGCCTTCACTATTTTAGTACTATGTAATCTTGAATACTAAATCTCTACAGGTATTCCACGCGAGCCGCGGACGCCATTGATTCAAATTGATGGTGATATTTTTGAAGAAAATAAAAAACGAGAGAAAGACGGTTCGACGCAAATATCCATCACTCTCCTCAGACTGATCGTATTTCACTTACAAATAATTTACGTATAAATATAAGCTTACGTATAAAGAAAAGCAATGGCTTGTTCCGTATCTCATAGCTCGGACTCAACCTTCTTACCTTATTACTTAGCGATACGTCTTACCGTACTGTTCGTACCAATATTTAGAGACAGTCTGTATAGGCAACCGTATTAATATTATAATATTCAAGTGGACCCTTATCCGCGAAACAGAAACGAAACTGCGAAGTGTACGAGTAAAAAAAACGAATGTTTCCAATTACGATAATTACAAAGTCTGATTAACGGGAACGAAGGAATTCTTTAACGCGCATTTTTGAAGCCACTAATAATCCATCGATCGAGATCTGCCTTTTTACCTTCTTACTTTCTCTTCTTATTTCCTAACAATAATTGCCTAACAATGCCATCACTTTCCTCCGTTCTATATATTCAAAAGACACAGAGTAACAAAGACGCTAATGTCTCACTTGCCACTTCTATTTGTTAGGTGTATTTGATTACGCCCCCTAGAGGGACTTTCAATATTCAAAAATTTTTAAGTACTATAAAAGATAGGATGAGCAGCCATCACGTCGATTCATTCCAGAAGTAGCTAAATATCGAATCCGTAAGTACATTGAGAATAAATATCGAAAGAGAAGAAGCAAGCACCTAGCGAAGTAGCATGATTATCACCTTAAAAGAAATAGCTGATACGAGTTAATAATTTACATTTGAAAATTCTGTGATAAATATTTAAAATATATATACATAATATGTATTACGTAGGCAGCTGAATATTGTTCGTCGTTAGACACTTGTGTTAAATAACGAAATGGCATCGCGGTTTCGTACGTCGTCTTACAGCTGACTACTGCTGACAATGTGAATCCCTATACCCAACACGTCTCTCTCTGAATTACTTGTTAAGTTGCGTTGTCTTCATTGATCGATTGTGACGCGTTTGCATTTGTAACCGATCGTGATCACATAAGAATATCGTATGAAATATATTCTATTCGCGAGATAACACTGTTCACAAGTGGAAAGAGAACATCCACATCGCGAAATTCACGATTTTTGGGTCCAATGAAAAAGAAATTGTGTAAGTTTTTGTTTTTGGGCTTTGGCCATTTCCCTATTTTACGTATTAATTGGAAACTCTCTTATCCGACAACCCTTGCATCCCGGTATTTATCCTTCGAGTTTCAGTTTATTGTGTGCTCTGAGTGCGATATGTGATTATCTCATATTTATTTATTTATCCTTGATACATTACCACTCTGTATTTTAGCTACTATTCTTTATTTCCATTATGGAACCTCGGCGCAAAACGAAATTATTATTCAATGCAATGGGGGAACCATTGTTTCTCAATGTATTCAAACAACGTTGACTTATAATAAACTTGAATTTTTAAGCTGAAATCAATTTCTAAAGGAAAATCTTTTGTCTTATTTCCTTAATTCCTCGAAAATTTCATAGTTTATGATTTATTGAGTTATTTAACAGGTGAGAATTATATTGTTCCAAGCATTAGCTCGATGATGCCATGTTTTTGTTCATACAAGCGTAGAATACTATACACGGCAATGCTTTTTTTAAGATGTCTACTTACTAAGATAGCATTGAGGAACATGAGACATATTTATATACATAATTGTGCTATAAGTATTAATTATTATGGAAATGACTCTCTTGGAAAAATTGTGATTTCCTTAATCGACATCAGCATATTGATGTATATATGTACATAATTACATACATAAGGGAGTAACAATGTATTTGGTAAATGTTTAATCACAGTCTTATTCATTAGGTTAAAATTGATCTTGTATCCCTCTACACAGCATTTGATAGTCCATGATTCATGATTCAGGGTTCAAAGAGAAACAGTTGGAAAGAGATTATTGTCCTCTCTGTATGCTTGAGCCAACATAAACATCATGTGCTCATATGCTAAGTGGGGCAAATATATTTACATCATTCATTTACAACTATCCGAGACTTTCCTGGGCTTAAGAAATCGATTGCTTCAGTCTATTCAACGTTGTTTCCTTTCCCATGATTTCCATCATTTCGGCAACACCTGGTCCGCTCTAATAATAAATACATTTTAGTATATTACCAAATTTAATTACATTTGCATTTATCTTTGCACATTACCTTCAATCCGCTTAATGTGCTACGTAACAAGTTCATCAGTGTCGGGAATGGAATCTCATTATTATCTGCAAATTCTTTAAGACAATTTTTTAATGAATTTTTTTGGAAATTGCCTTCATCAAAGCTTGAAAGTTTTTCACTAAGAGTTCGAAGCAGTTGAATGTCCTTTGGTTGAGGTGAATGTGTTTCTTGAGCAGAGGGTACTACCCATAGAAAAGCTAGATCCGATGAGACCAAGTCACTCAGTTTTGAAATCCTGTGCTGTGCCCATTTGAGAACGGACAAAATGTGGTCTTCATTCAGTTGTAAACTGCCATCTTTGACCCTACAATGAATTCGCGTTCATGAAAGCAACTGAAACGCTTCTCTGTGCAACGAATTATTACCTGTCAGGAAATGTTTCCAATACAAGTTTGCTAACACGCTGCACAAGAAATTTGCAATTATCGTCATTTGCTAATAACTGCGATATCTCCATTTTATTAAATTCCAAGAGTTTTTCTGGACTAAGCTTCGTTGAATTCACGTTTATTTTTGTTATGTCGAACTGTAACAAAGTTTGAATTGAGCGAGTATGCAATGTTATTTGATAATCTAAAAATAATTCTTAAATAAAACGCACCTGTTTAATAAGTTCTTCATAACTGTAACATCGTTGCCCGCCTTGTTCTCGAGAAAAACCTCCCCCGGCATGGGTTATAAAGTTCAATAAAGCCAAAGGAAATATTCCTTGTTTCCTGTAAGCTTCAACTGTAATGTCACCCTGTCTTTTGGAAAGTTTTGTACCGTCTGGATTCAAAATAAGCGGCAAATGTCCAAATCGTGGTGGAATCCAACCGAATGCCCTATTACAATATTATTATTTTGTTCCGTGTGTGCATAGCTTGTAATCATTTTGAACTTACTTGTAGAGTAGCAAATGCTTTTGGGTTGATATTTGCCATTCTATTCCGCGTAGAACGTGAGATATTTCCATGAAATGATCATCGACTACATTGGCGAAATGATATGTCGGATAGCCGTCGCTTTTAATAATAATTGGATCACCCTCGTTTTGAGCAACATCATATGCTATTTCACCATAAACAAGATCTACAAATGGATCTGGATTTGATGTGAGCTGTTGAAAATAAGAATATTAATGGTAGCGTTCAATAAAATTTGCGGCTATGTCTATCATAGACATACTTTAAATCTAATGCAGTGTTGTTCTCCTTTTCGTATCCTATTTTTAACTTCTTCTTTGGTAAGATACCTGCATCTGTTATCATACTTCGGTTTCTGTTTTAATCTCATTGCATCCTTTCTTATTAAATCTAGCCTATGTTCACTACAGAAGCAGTAGTAAGCTGATTCATTATTTAAAAGGGTGAGCACTTGCTCTCTGAAATTACAACAATTATTTTTTTTATCATTGAAGCTGGTAATGCTACATTCAACTATTTAAAATAATCTCACTTGTACAGTTCTATACGTTTTGATTGTATATAAGGTCCAGTTGGTCCGCCCCTAATTGGGTCCTCGTCAGGAATGATTCCAGCCCAAAACAGATCGTCCTGCAATTTTTGCATGGCATCTGGAATGATCCTGGTCTGGTCAGTATCTTCTATTCTTAAAATGAAACAACCATCATTGGCTCGTGCAAAAAGATAATTGTACAAGGCTGTTCTAAGGCCTCCCAGGTGTAGATGCCCTAAAAAGAGAGTGAGGATAGCATTTAAAGCAGTTTAGAGGATCACATATGTTAAGTAGTACAGTAATTCAATTACATAAATTAAGACTTACCTGTAGGACTAGGTGCAAATCTAACTCTGACATTGTGTTTCCTGTAATAACGTTTTTGGGATAGCTGGAAATTGACTATTCTAAATGCACTACGCTGCATTTCGCAAAAAATTGGTTTTCACTATAAAAAAATGACAATCTTCTTACAGGGAAATAACCTAAGAACCTAGAAACGTCACTGCACACGTGTTCCTTTGCAATTCACATTGACAAAGAGTGGAATGATAATATATTTAATGAACACACTGTTGATTCCGAAATGCTCTACTCTAATGACTAGGTAAATTAGTACTAAAATTTCGTTTCTAGTTATGGTCTCCAAGTTGTTACGCAGTCGCAATAGGAAATGGAGCGGCAAGTAGGAATCAGCAAAGAACACTGAGGTTGATTGACGTAAGAGACTAGCAAGACCATTCAGCTGCTTGTAAATGCCGCATTGTGGGAAAGTCCAAAAGGTATTCTGGCTTGACTGCTGTGCAACAAATCTTTATTTTACAAAGGTGTTTTATTGTCAATTATTACGTAGTTGTAACAAGACGCCATGCTCTGTTACTTATAACATCTGTATACGTGTAGAATATTATGTACTACTTTCCATATAACTTATAAAAGTATTCTTATTGTATTATGATAAAAAAAATATTCATAAAAATCTCTGTGCTCACATTTCATTATGCAAGAATGACGCGAATTTGAGATCGTTAATGGTGGAAGTACACTTATACACATATGATATAAATATATAAAACGGTGGAATTGCATGAGTCGGAATGTCAAGAAATACTGTGCAATATTTTGCCATACAGTATTATATGTATGTATATGGTGTTTGATTAATAGTAAGTCTATATCCGTTTAATGTGAGGACCTTTTAAACATGACCTCCTAATTTGGAATTAGCTGCTCATCAGTATCGAAGGGCCTCGCGGTGGCAATTCATCTCTAAGAATTCACCTTTTGAGGGATATCCAGATGATGTGAACCACCGTGTATAGACAATAAATCCAGTTCGTTATATCCACGTAATACACGTATTACTGGTACCTAAATAATTATATATAACAATCGGCAACACTCTGTCGATGGACGGATAACTCTGACTATATATATAGTATAATACTCTAAATAAACTTATAAACAAATACAGCGAAAAGAACTTAAGTTAGTTTGTTCGAAGTCCGGACTCCGTGGATGTAGAACGTTTTTACTTAGGATTAGGCAGTATCGAGAGGCACTTTAAGTTTTGCTAAATAAAAACCTTATTTGATTAGTCATTCTAGAAGATATTGGCTTTGCCATTCTTGACTGCGTCATTTTTTAATTTCACTGCATACTCACCATGGCATATTAAAACAAATACGACATGGCTATTTTTTCAAACTGCTGTTTGTGGCACACCCTGAACTAAATGTGTTTTGCTTTTACTTTTGGGCAAGGAGGATTGACTGGTTGCTTTGCCCAATTTTTGCTGACCATTTGGTGAACTCGTGACAAAACCTTCCGCGCGAATATCTTTTAAAGAAACATTCGAACTACTTCTAAGGGACGGAGTAGAGCTAAATTTTCGATTATGTGCTAATCGTTCCTGCAGCTTGGCTTCGTTCTGTCGTGGTTGTCTTGATTTGGGAACTGGCGCATCTCGATATTCGTAAACATTCTCCTTCGAATTTCGTGTCAGATTCTCGATTCCCTCCGAGTGATCGTCGTCTCGCACCATCAGGATGTCCCCGCTATAGTAGTGATCGGATTGTCTGCAAATAATAAAGCCACGAAAAAGTGGCACGCGACATTATTCCCCCCGCGAAGAAAAAGTAAAAAGAATATTTCACATATAAATGATAGTTTCTTTTTTGATTAATCAATAAAAATGGTATTTACATGAAGGCATGTAAAAACGTGCAGCGGGTCAAAGCCCAATTACCTGCGTATCTTCTTGCAGCCTTCGTTTTGCTAAGCGTGTCGTGAATAATAACCCTGTTAGTACGCCAGTGTCAAATATACTAAACGCGTGATTATCTTGTATAACGTTAGTTACCATAGACGTAATAGGCAGGAAATACCGTGATTAAAGAATAGGCGAAATACCTGTTGGCATTCTACCTCCAGAACCAGTGTTCGCATGCACTACATTCCCCAAAAAAGGCGTAGTCACATGGATTCGGTTCTGTTTACCTTTTGCTTACCTTTTGGCATTACGCCATAGCATGCAACACACGACTGACAGGACGATCAGCAGGAGGCAAGCCGTCGATACAGACCAGAACGCAATTTGCAATGGCTGCTTCGGTTCCCACCAATACTACGACCAAAGGATACGGAAAATGTGTTAAAATTGAAACAAGACAAAGAATAGGAAACACGTAGCTTGATATTCGTCATACCTCTGTGACCGGTGGATATGTGGGCACCAGGCGACCTATTACAGTTGGTAAGTACATCGACCAGAATGCACTTTCGGTTTGACGATAATTCAGAAGAATTGAACTGTTAAAGGTCGTATTTATGTTTAGATAGCGCAGTTGGCCCTGTTTCGCAACGTCAAAGTGCAGTCCAAGAATTTGAGCGGGTGTCGGATTTCTAAAAAGTGGCGAATAAGAAATACTCGTACAGGTATGAACACTACGTAATTAAAAAGGTTTATCAATACCCGTATGTCGCAAAATTGGCATAGGCCTTCATAAAGAAGTAACTCATATTGCGATCATTTTCGGTCCACATGTCTCGCTTTAGTCGCCATTTCTGTGGGAAAAATTCTAAAAGAAAGAAGTTGAGACGTGTTAATCATTCGGGATATATTCCATGAAAATCATTTTGGGATAAAGAATCTACCAGTGTCCATGAATGGCGCTCCAGTCAGCCAAAAATGTTCAGTGTCATGAGGAACTCTTCTCCATAATGGCAAATTGAGGGCTTCTATGGTGGTGTTCAGGACGTACAAATAAACGGGAACTTTTTGTTCTACTAATAACTTAGCCACTTTGTCAAACGGTGCAACGTAGTGGAAATCGGATAGGAGCTGCAAGCATTCCAGAAGTCGTAACAAGGTTCCATCGAGTTCTACACTGCCAGAGGTAATTATACTTACATTTATATATTGATCTCGAATATGTGTAACGTTATTTGGATCAGGCCAGTAGGTATACATATATTTAATAGCTTCATAAACTCCCCAAGGATTAAGAGTGTAATTGTATCTGAGCACCAGTTCCCATATTTTCTGATCAAACATATCCGGATCTATTATATAGTGATTTCTCGCTAGAGTTTCATTATCATCTATAAGAAATATGAATAAAGTATAACAGCATGATGAGAAGCAAGTGCAAAACGTATGGGATATAATTACGTATGACGAATGCTGCCTCCTGGGTTGTCACTCCAGCCATGTAAACGAGATCTTTTCTGAATTTTCGTGCTTTGATACTCTCTTCAGGGGTTTCTGTGAAAAAGTGCCAGTCAGAACTTTTCCATTCTTCGTACCAATTGTCTCTGGGAACCGTAAAGTTCAGATCAAGCACTGGGGCCCACGGGAACATGCCCACGTGTGGCTTAAATTCGGAATTTCCTAATTCAAGGAAGGTGCGACCGTCCTTCAAGCATTGGACCAATTTCCAGCTGCTTTCTATGCTACAGCCCAGCATCTCCGCGTAGACTCTTGATGTGTTCTGCGCACGATACTTGTCCACTATCAAAGCCCAATCTGCCACTGCTGACCCCGACTGGGCTATGACTTTTGAGATCATGTCGCTAGTCCTGTTATCAATTTTCATAATTATTTTTATATATTCCAAATAAGAGATTACTATAAACAATATATCTACTTGGGTGCCACCATGAGGAGTCCTGCGCTCGCTGCACCTGCCCCTGGACCAAAAAGAGTTATGGCATCCTTGTCACCGTTGAAGGACTCAATGTTATCCTGAATCCATTTCAAAGCCATAGCCTGATCGAGTATGCCATAGTTGCCTGGGCTGTTTTCATCTCCAGTGCTCAGGAATCCTTAAGGGCGAGAATGGTACAAATAAGAATATTCTCCCATCAAGGATGAAATGATAAAATGAAGATTACCGAGTGCTCCAAGACGATAGTTGAACGATACTACGACTACATCGTAAAAGCCAGCCAACATGTGACCCTGGAATAAGTTGCTGGCACCATGAAGAAATTCACCACCGTGGATATAAACCATGACAGGATAGCGACGCGCTAAACCGGATTCAATCTAAATACGAAAGATTAATGAGTCGACGAATCTATTTTTAATTTTGATAAACGTACTCGAGGTGTAAAAATATTCAGGTACAGGCAGTCTTCGTCCACGTCTCGAACTCCCTTGGTGGCTCCCGTGTATCTGCTGGGTTGTGGACAGGCTGGACCCCAATCCACGGCTTGTAAGAGTTGCCACCCTCTTCCGGTGAAAAACATTGGGTTTGCAAATGCAATATAACATCGTTAAAATTATATAAAATCGTCGATACCTATGCTGTCTGGGAGGTCTAAATCTTCCTTCCTTTGTAGGTGGCATGGCGTAAGGAATTCCCAGGAATACGTTGACATTAGCAGTTACTCTTTCGACTGGCAGATTCCAGGGTTTATGCCTGAATTCAGGATTGTCATAGAGGTAGACTTTGAATCCTTGCACCTGGCCATAATTCGTATTGACAAAAATATCGCGCATCAAATTTTTCGAATCTGGTCTCTCTTTTCCTTGAAGATCCTCCCGCCAACCTCCGAGAATTCCTGGCAATGGCAGTCTGGGAGTCGCATCCTAGAGTATCAATTAAAAGCATCCTGTGTCATCCGATCACGTCACAATACTATAGTGAATCCCGTCCACAAGGGGTCCGTTGTTATTAACACAGAGAAAGAAGCAGAATGGATGACACTTCGCTTGCTGACCGAAACAATTATGAGTAAGTCAAACCAAAGTGATATCCTATAAAATGTCATTCTTACCCCAAAACGAAAGCGATCCTCGGGTGCTCGGGTAGGGCCCCTGTAAAGAGGGTCCAGATAGCTAGGCTGGTAGCCGTACCTTCTGTCCTTGTAGACATAAGTCTGGTATCCTGCGGAGCCAGGAGGCACGTAGACACCGTCCCGGTTCTGGTATCGTTCTCCATAGGATGGCTGATTCTGGCCCAGGGTGCTGGCAAAGGCCAGAAAGTAAAGAGACAAGGTGACGCGCCCTGTGAAGGCGTGTGCCCAAGGTACGGCCATCTTGGCCCGTTCACGTTACTATACTACTGTTAGTATACGACTATACGGACTACACAGACTATACAACGCCAAATGCCAGGGGAACGGCTACGTATATCCCCACCGTCAACACGGCGTATGAATCGTTGGCGGTCGCTCGCACTCTCTCTCTCTCTCTCTCTTTCCTTCTCTTCCACCTGGTCACTCCTTCTTCCTCGTTCTCCAGCACACGCGACGTACAACGGGAAAAGGGAAAGGGACTCCTATATAAATCCCGCTGCTCCAATGTTACCTATGCGCTCAAGTCAAAAGTAAAAACTGGACTCGCACATCAGCCCAATTCGATGACAAAGATATTTTCCCCGCGTTTCTCTCACTCTGCGGCCTGCAGTCACTATACCGAAGGGCTTTTGTTTGCCAGAGGCTTTACGTTAGTAGTGCGTGCTTCAATTGTTGGTGAGATGCGGGGCAGTGCCCGGTTATAACTGCAATGATGTCACTCCAAGCCGCCCACTACTCATGAATGAACTTTTCTTCTGTGAAACTGTTCTTTACTCGAAGACTCATTTCTCTATGTGTCGCAGACCCATGCGTGTAATCGCTGGTACATCTAATCTGTTCTTCGCTATCGCAACTTGATACGTCAAAGTTACTGGCTACGATCCGCCCAGAATAATAATGATAATGAAAAAGCATAAGCGAGATGGACCTACATATCTCACTCGATGATACTACAGATTGCAGAACTTCCACACGGTGAATCATTAATTCGCCAAAGTATAAATTCAAAGCGATAAACGTGCGATATACGAGCTAAAATCTTGGAAGCAACGAGGGAAGAAGTTAAAGCGAAGCAAAGGATACAAAGTGTATCAGTAACGAGAGGGGGAGGTTATTATCCCTTTTATCGGGATCAAGTGGTCAGCTTCGTGGTGGGAACGTTAATATCGGTGTGGGTTGCAATGCCTGCGATGGCTACTATTCCAGCAATGTAGTATAAGGGCTCGTGGTTACAGGGTGAAAATTCGGCTGGGAGCAGATGCAACGTGGACGGCTGAGGTGGTGGGGGAAGTCGGTGTAGCGGGGACGGTGTAGTCGGCTCGGGGGTGGGTCTGGGTCTGAGGGAACATGGTTCCACTTGTCTCATCGCGGGTTCTCGTCTCTGCACTGCTCTGCACTCGAGAGCGCGTTGCCACGGAGGCAACATCGTGTGCTCTCCAGAGTGGCTCCACTCTCACTGGGCAGCACTTCAAGAAGAACCCGCGAATTCCTTTCGTCATTGTCATCAAAGTGAAGTAGAACCGTGCCGCGGCTGGTAAACAATCCGATTAAAGCTCCGCCAGTAGAAGCAAGTGTATCGAGGAGACAAATGTCAGGAAAACCGTTGCACTTTGAGCCAAAGAATTAGTGAACTCGATGCTCGGCGATTGCTTTAATTAAATTGACATCCTGTGGGACCAGGCCGAAAACTGCTTGGTGAGATCCGTTTGAAAGGAGTATGACGACCGAATCGATACCTCGTGAGCTGGACGCTCACATAGTGACGCTCTTGACGAAATTGTCAGCTTTAAGAGAAGAGACCGGAGAAGCCTCGGACAGGAAGGGACCCATGTCCATCGAGGCAAAGAGTCTCGAGCTCTGGAGAGCCGTGGCCGTGGAATGTTTTGCCACGTTTATATTCAGCCTGGTGGTTTCCGGCGCAGCGGCTACCTCGGCGGTTTCCGGAAGTGGCCTCTCGGTCCTGGCCACTGCCATCGCCTCCGGATTTGCCATAGCAGCCATCTGCCTGATCTTCGGACACGTTAGCGGTAAGACACTTAACGTACTACTGACTTGGTGGCAGCTACTGGGACAAAGGATGCCAAGAGTTCATACTAATGCGGGAGATACCGAAGTGGTCTTTATTGTGTCGCGCCGTGCGGCCCTCGTGCGGCTCCTCTCGATTGGCTCGTTAACCGATTATGGCTCCAATGTTGATCCGTATAAATTGGCTGGGCGTACGAGCACGAGCAACGAACGCTCTTGCAGCTCCCAGAGGACGGAGATGGGTGCAGTTGGATTTCTCATAATTTCCTGAATTGCTTCACAGGTGGCCACGTGAACCCTGCGGTCTCGGTGTCCTTTGCTCTGGCGAGAAGAATCTCCCCTTTGAGAGCCACCCTCTACATAGCGGCGCAATGCGGTGGAGGTATCGCCGGTGCAGCCATGCTCTATGGGTGAGTAAAAGCCTCCCTCTAGATCTTATTGCCTTCGACAAAGAAACGGGAGATAGGGATGCCAGCTGCGAGATAGGAAACCCGAGATTCCAAGAGCCCGAGCCAGGGTCCAAAAGAGAGAGAGAGAGAGAGAGAGAGAGACCGGCACGTTTTCTTCATTGGAATTTCCTGGTTAACGACACGGACCGATCGCCGACCTGGTTCCTTTTATTATTTTGCTTCCTTTATCGAAGAGTCGCCGGTCCCTTTCGTTATCGTCATCCGTGACTCAGTCAACGGTTTTTAGGCTTTTCCGGCTGAGCCGATAATTACCAGTACTGGAATTTTTGGAAAACGACAACTCGACAGGATGCACATAATCTGAGGACAAGTACCGTAGTTAAACGTGGGCTTGGATCTCTTCCGGGATTCTAAATGGCAGATGATCAAGTTTCCACCCTAAGTGGAGTCATCGATGTGGGTACGCGTTTAACGGAGAAACTGGTCGCGTTATTCTCATACCTGGACATTCGACCAGGAACGAGTCCATACGTTAAGCCGCTCTCAGCTTAATGCTTCTCCCGAGAAATGGAATTCAAGTCCTGGTTAGTCGTGTTGTCGCTCTGGTTATTCGTGTCGGGGGAGAGAGAGAGAGAGAGAGAGAGAGAGAGAGAGAGAGAGAGAGAGAGATTGAGAGCTCTGCACGTTGAATCGTAAAAACTGAATTTTTCTTTAATCGAAACAAGAACTATTCCATACTTCTGTATTTCCCGTTTATTCTCCCGCTGTTCGGAATCCTTGGCTCACGTTGGAAAGTCAGAAGACCGTCGGATGAGCAGGAGGAGCAAGGAAGGAAAGAAAGAAAGAGAGGAAGAAAGGAAGGCTGAAAGAGGCAGCGTAATTGGCAGAAACGAGTGAGGGAGAACCCGAGCACCTGCCGTTTCTCTCTCTCTCTCTCTCTCTCTCTGTCCCTCCTGTCCTCCTTCCCCCTCTTCCCTCTTTCACTCACTCACTCAAGAGAGGCGACCACCGCCTCGCAGCTGCCGCAGATGTTTCGTGGACCAAAAAAGATCGGGAGTAGGCATATATAGTAAGACTGAGATAATGAATACCTATGGACGGGAGGTAGGACACGTCTGAAGAGTCGTGAGGATCGTTGAGGATCGGTGAGGATCGGTGAGGATCGTAGCAGAGGATAGGAAATAGGCAGGCAGATGTTGTTCGCTCTTCTCCGGCCGAAGAGACTCGGGCTGCTCCGTGAGGAGAATTCTCAGGACAGCCATATGACCCGACAAAAGAGAAACAAGTGCGCGATATGTAGCGAAATAATAATCGAACAATGCACCAGTTAACTGGGTGACCGCAAGCGGCTCCCTCGGGAATTGCACCCCGAGCGCCGCGAAGGGTAGAGAACGTAAAAAGCCGGTGCATCTGTTGCGACGGAGTCGCTCAGCTTTGGAGTGGCGCAAAGTCCGCCCTCTGTAAAACACGCTGAGCTTGCTTTTCTACCCTCTCTCGGGGGGGTGTGAGTCCGCCATTGTTCTTTGGCTCTTCCGAGGCCCGTAGGGGTAAATAAAAACACCCCGATAAATCGCTTACCGAACGAGCCCATCCCTCTCTAACTACCCGTGCAATATTTACGACCGCAGTATCGCTCTTTGGTATTCCGCCAAAAAGCTTTTTTTCACCGTTCATTCATTTTCATCTTGCGCTGGTCCATCGCGCTCGCAAAACAGAGAATAAGTCGCCTCGAAGGGTTCAGGGTGTCGAGAGGTTTGGCTGAGATCGAATACTGACAGTTCGATCAGGATCGTGAGGTTGCGCGGGAGGGGCAGGAGGGGGCAGGAGCGTAGGTAGGAATAAACAGCTGGAGGAAGCAGGTGTCGTGACGTAGGCAGACGCACGCTGGACGCGTGGCCAACAGGATGTCGAAACTTACTTCCTGCCAATTGGGCAAGGAAAAGTTTTTATTCTCGTGAAAAAAAATCTCCTTGCAGCTTTCGATGAAATATCTCGAATCTTACGGACTAATACCCAATATCGTCGGATTCGCGCGTCGATATGATCCTTAAGCTCTGCTTTCATGGACTTGCCACAGGGCCATCCAGCTCGAATGCACCAGTCAGATTCCACAGCTGCTGCAGGATATCGTTCGGTCAGCCTAGATTTTCAATGGTTATACTGAGAAGTAAAGTTCTATTACAGGCATTATTGCTCGGGACCTCTCAGGTAGCAGGATTCCTACCTGATTCCCTTTTCCAGAAACGCAAAACGGCACCCGGTTGCTCCAGGATCCTCCGCGTGGACTTCCGTGCGCCCCTCGTTATTTCAGGCCCTCCGTTACTCGGGGCCCGAATGAAAATAAATTCCAAGGGACAAAAAATCGAGTCGAGAGGAACATGTGGCTCCCATACGTTCCTACGCGAACGTCTCGTCTCTATAGGCGATATGCTATAGTACCTCCACATATATTTGTGATCTGACGTCTCGGAATACTTCACCCTATCCTCCCCGTTGCTGTTATTATTATCACGGATATGAAATATCCTTGCGGCAGAGACATCAGGGCTGTGCCTTCCTTGACTTTGTCTCAGGTACGGCTCGGCGCGGCTATCCTGGAACGTATTGAAAGCCAGGTCTGGCTGAATTCCAACAGATGGTTGTAACCACGTGTTGGACAATACGAATGTTTTCCTTTCTCTCTCTTCCTCTTCTGGATACAAATTTATACTTTGGTTGGGCTCAGATATCTCGATCGAAATCGGCCTGAAGATTCTTTGGGCAATTTAAAAAAATAAAAAAATAAAAAAAAAGTTGTACTTGTTCACCAGGGTGGAAGATTCGGTTTTCGTGGAATTGTCAGGACTTTGTATTTCTATGAATAAGGATGGGTGATGGGTCGTAGAGTAAGGGCGGTTTCTTAAGGCTGAAGGGACGTCGCCGTGGAACATCTGCTGCACCCCCTGTAAGAAAATCGTTCAGGGGCCCCGAGACTCCTTTGTGAGTAGGGACTCACGTGGCCCTAAGGACGACGGAGATTCCTTTTGTGCAACATGTGGCCGGCACGTGTTTCCTTGTGGAAAGGCAGATCGCGCGATTTATAGGATCTCCATGGTGAATCTCCGGCAGCTGCCAGGACCTTAGTCCTTCTCATCAATAGGATTCCTTTGCTGAGGATTCAGCCGCGCTCGCTTCGGGCTCATTGAAATTCAACAAGAGAAGTCCGGTCCGTTAAAAATTCTATCCAATGATGTCGGCGAGAATACTTGAATTTTCGAAATTCTAATGCGTGAAAGTGAAATGATTGCTCGGAATCGAAGAAAAATTTAAGACAAAGAAAACCGAAAAGGACTTCCGGTAAGAAAAGGTCTTCGAACCGAGCGACTTCCTGCCCTCCTTTAATGCATTCAGCGAGTAATCCCAGAAGATCCTGCAGCTCCTGTCGGGCCAAAAGGAATTCCTGTGCATTGTAGGAGGGTCCAGGCACGGCTAGATCGAGGCCCGGAAGAGTCTGCGTGGTCCTTCGTGATCTCAGCTCTGAAGAAATTGGCACACGCGTCGCTCCCAGGACTTGAAGCTGGACGCGACGTATCACGCTGCCTGCGTGAAATTTTCCCACCGCGAACTTTATAGTGGAATCAAGTCCACCGCGAAATCAACCCCATTAAAGTGGGCGACATGTGTGGCTTTTCTCCGGGATGGGGTGCGCGGACAACCCCCTCGATAATTCCTAGGGGTATCAATAGCTCGTTAAACGTATACGGGGGTCGTACGTTGGTTGGATTGAAATTTATTTAAAACGCGTCCGGTTCACCCTCTGACGGGAACCCTCTTATTTTTCACCCTGTATCTTCTTGCATCTCGGATACAGTGTACACGATGCACCCCCTCTCGGTCTCTTGGCTCTGATCGCGTGTGAATCGCGAAAATGGGGCACAGGTTGCGGGGCTCTCACGTCAAGTGCGCCCGACACGATTAAAATCCGCCCCTGAGCAGCCAGCCGAGCCTTTTATCGTGGGGTGGAAATCTGACGCTCAGGTTCCTCCCGAAAGAGAGCGTCGGGCTCTAATAGAGTTCTCCGGCAAAGAGACCCTCGTGGAAAGCCAGTGCGAGCCACCTCGGCACTTTGCCGCGGTAGAGTCTGAAAAGTCAGAGGAACGAGGGAAAAAGGGAAACGCAACAACCGCGAAAGGGACGACGGGAGGAATGGGGATAAAAACGTTAAAAAAGAAAAAAAAGGTAAAGAAAGGAATAGAAAAAGAAAAATATTCATCGTTCAGACTAAAAGCGGATCGGATTCGCGTGGGAAGCGCAGGCGTCGCCACTCACCCTTATTTTCCTGAACCGCGTAAATCCGCTTATCACGCAGGGGAGTTCGGATCTCCCATTTTTTTTCTTCTTTACTATACCCCATTTTTGTCATCTCTTCCTCTTTTTTCTTTTTCTCTCTACCAAACAGAACTCGGTCCATCCATGCGTCGAGTCTCTCCAGTTGATCCCAATTGTTCGGGCGTGATTTGCATTTCTGATTTCATCAGTTCGTCGAGACCCAGAAGAGGGGAGCGACAAGAGCCTCAGTCGGGAAGCTCATTTGCATTCTGAATGAGAGCCGAAAGGGATTTCTCGACTGTTGCGTCGAATTAAAGGGAGATTACAGACGTATCCTTATCGATAACCGCCTATTTAGTCGATCGTGCGATCGATCTCTCGAACGTGAACGTGCGAATCGTCCAACAGCACTGATCACGGGGTAGGAGTGCAACTGCACTCTGTATGCAAGCGAGTCGTGCAACCTTTGCATTGCGGTCAAGGAAGGATGCTCTTTGGATTTATGGGGGTCATTTTGCCGGAGGTCGACTGACTGTGACCCCGTATGATTATATGGGCTGACGACGATCCACGTCGAGCTTTTTAGCAGGGGTTCGCTGCACGATGCACCGGCTAATATAAACATTAGGTCCAGAGCGAGGGTCCTGGGGGGGAACGCTCTTGGGGATGACGCGTACTTCGCGCTCCTTCTCAATGGGAAAATCAGAAGTTTATTATTGCGCTCTTGTAAGTTATACGCGTGCCATCCATACGGCAGCCATATGCGTTACTTTTTCGATCAATATTAATCACACTCTCAAATTCATATCCCACAGCCGCTACCTCCTCTCGAGCTCAGAGTTAAGTGACTTTCGAGCGTGCGCCTAAGATAATGTTAATAAGCGAATTTCATATTTTCAGAGTGACGTCTCCACCCAGCACGCAGACGGTTATTCCTCCTGGACGTCTCGGAGGAGCTATAGAGAGGCTCCTGGTGGAGCTGGCCCTGTCGATCCTGATAGTCCTGGCGCACTTTGTTTCCGAATCGTCAAGGTCTTCCTTGCCGTCCTCGATATCCGGAAAACCTGCGGGAGTCCTGGCAGCAGCCTACACGGCAGCCACTCTGGTGTCGGTGAGTACTTAACAAGTATTCGATGTACTTTTCTTGGGGCACCTGCCTGCCAGCGAGCACCAGCGGGCACCAGCGGCCACCTGCCGCAAGACAATGGGCCCAGGACTGGTATAATACTCTGTCTCTCTTTCTCCCTCTTCGTTCTGCCTTCGCCGCCGGTAGAATTACAAAGCTCACGCAAATCTTTACAGAGCCCGTTCCTGAATCCGGCCCGTGCGTTGGGCCCGGCGTTCGTGATGAATCGCTGGGACAACCACTGGGTATACTGGGTAGGACCCATCTCTGGTGGAGCCATCGCAGCCCTTCTGCACGAGTACGTCCTCAATCCTAGAAGAACACGGGACTCACGGGATGTCGACGACGGTGACAACTCCTCCATGAGATCCGACGAGGATCCTTACGACGATTTGGATAAACCTGTCGGACCAAAATTTCCAGGAGGCTACGCAACGTACAGACCCGTGGCAGGAGCCTCCAGTTCGGTTTACAGTGCGCCACCCACGGCCCTGGACCGCGTAGAATCCATCTATGGCGGTACCAAGTCTCTCTATTGTAAGTCTCCGCCATTGACCAGGGCGAATTTGAATAGGTCGCAGAGTGTCTACGCAAAGTCTACGTCCGGTCCCAGGGATGGTCTGGTTATACCGAAACCTGGTCCTCTGGTTCCCGCGCAGAGTCTCTATCCCATGAGAATCGGACAGAGTTCTCAGACCGGAAGGGACACTCTAACCTCGCAAAATTCACCGAGTTCTCAGAGTCAGACGCAAAATCACAATAGCACTAATCAGAATATGCAAAATCAGTTGCAACAATGTACGCAAAGTATTTACGGTATACGTGGTATCTCAACGAGCGTGAGTGCTCGTGAGAATGGAATTTACGGGGTTTCTACGGGGTCGAGTATTTATGGGAGAGCTCCGGCCCCGCCGCCGGGAACTCAGAATCAGCAGCAGGTACAGACTGTGCAGAACGCTGCTCAGGCTTCGGGGGCTGGACACTTGCAGAATGGACCCCTCGCTACCAGTTCCGAAAATGGGACTAATTCCAGAAGACCAGAAAGTATGTACGGTCACGTCTCGAGACGTAGCGACGATTCTGCTTACGGCAGTTATCAGGGCTCTACCAGGGGCAATTACGGTAAAGTTCCTGGGCCACCGGGCACAGCAGGACCCCCGGGACCACCTCAGTATCGCGAGCAAACGAGGACCACTGCACCAGGACCCATTCAGCAGAATCAGAACCAACAGAGCAATTTCCAGAGGAATTCTCCAAATCCACAGTACTGATCAAATAATGGCCTTACTGCGCCATAAAGACTCAGTTCTCTCATCCGAGAAACGATCACTGATGAATCAGAATCTTCCCTGTCGTTGTAATCTTAGAAACTTTTATATGATTACGCACTTTAGATAGTAAAGTATACTTAAGGATCTGTAAATATTATTTGTATTTATTATTTGATACATATACGTAAGTGTAGCGAAACGAATGATTCGCGTAGGATTCTATCCTAGACTCGACAATAAATAGTTTTAATGAAAACGATAACATGGAGAAAAGATCAGACAGAAAAACGAGTCGTCGCTGAATGTTCCCATACTTGTAATTCCCCTGTATAATACTTCACAGAATAATCTCCATCAATTTTTGGTATTAATAAAGTCCCTTGCAAATGATACCACCGAATCAGTCACTCTATTGACTGCTAAATACAATTTGAATTATGTATGTACATAAAGAGATGAGCAGGAACATGCACAACGCTACGGTTTTAGGCGGTACCAAAATCATGCCGCTAAATCGTAGCGGCAAGTCTGGAAGTAGGATTTTGTGATCATCGCCTCCGTCGACAAAGCAAATCCCGTCGTAGCCGAGCTAAACGTGAGCACGAACGCGTAGCTTGGCGGGCAGAGGTTCTCCGCTACTCGCCGCTGGTTCCCAAAGCAACTCTTAGAACGAGACCGGGAACTATAGAACTTCTCAAGAATTATTGAAAAAGCCTATTGTTGAAATATTTTTAAGACTTTTTTAAGAAAGTGCCAACTTGACACCCGTGTAGCACCTCAATTTTAACAAAATATTATTGGATCTTGATTTACTTTCAAAATTTATTCAAAATATAAAATTGAAGCTAAATAAAAATCTCGCAGAATATACGGAGCAGATAAAATTGAACTGAAATTGTAGAATATCGAAAATAAATTGCATTCACATTGAAATATTTATAAATTAAGTGTTTGTAACATTAAAATAATTAATTAAATCAATAAAGTAAAATATTAACACTCAGAAATTGGAAATTCAGGCCAAGCATATTTAGAAGTACTGGAAATTGCCCAAAATTGTGTGCGTGCAAATTCGTCGCGGCAGGACTCGGCGAGTGGGAGATGGCGGAAAGTGGGGGGAGCGCTCGAGGCAGTGCCCGGACGCCGAGCGCTTATCGGCTATGCTGCATTTTCTCTGCCATTACTTTCATTCCATCTGCAAGTTGCAAAAAGTAAAGGGATTTTTTGAAAGTGCCCTATCGCAGTTTGATCTGTACCAACCTGATACAGCTGATTTTCGAATTAGTTTAAATTTTATTTTGTCGGAGAAAGTTCTACATTCTTCCTCGAGCCGGTCTCCTATACTGGTCTCTTGGAATCATTACTCTTATCCCTTTGCAACCTTCTTCTATTTTTGTATTTATCGTTCACTCGTTCTCTCAGAGATGTCGCCACATATCATGCCCAGGAGGTGCTGCCCTCTTATCGGCGAAAATTCGAACTATTGCGAATTCTTTAATATGAATTTACTCATTGAAATTTCGACGATGGGATTTTTAAATTGAATTTGAAATTATTTTATCCGAGAAAGTTCACTCGTTCTCTCAGAGATGTCGCCACATATCATGCCCAGGAGGTGCTGCCCTCTTATCGGCGAAAATTCGAACTATTGCGAATTCTTTAATATGAATTTACTCATTGAAATTTCGACGATGGGATTTTTAAATTGAATTTGAAATTATTTTATCCGAGAAAGTTCACTCGTTCTCTCAGAGATGTCGCCACATATCATGCCCAGGAGGTGCTGCCCTCTTATCGGCGAAAATTCGAACTAATGGAGATTCTTTACTATGAATGCTTCATAATTTCAAAATTCAAAAAAAAGTGTGCGAGTACCAAAAAGTAAAGCAATTTTTTGAAAGTAGCCCTATCGCAATTTAACCTGTACCAGCCTCTTCTATGGAACATTCTATCTTTCTGCATTAAGAGATCTTTCAAAATTTCAAAGAAAAAGCCTTATACCCAGCCATTTCCGAGATACAGCCTGCCGAAGATGCAATTTCGAGCATTTTCAAAATTCAAGAATAGACTAAGGCCTATGTAACCGTATGCTTGTCAAGATAAGAAATATTAAGGCAGAATGTACAGATTAAATAAGACTATCGGCTTAGTGAATTTATTTTGTTTTACAAGGTAGTATTGATAAAGGAAAAGCGATTCAGAATACGGATAATATGGTAGAGATGGAATGGAGCATAGCTGGAAAGAGGTGTCGAAGCATAAGGCAGGAGAAGAAGGAAAAGGATGCTGTTAGGACGGAGGAGCGTAAGAAAGAGACAGAACTCATTCGTACTTTGGGATATTCGCATAGGGCAAAAGAATATCAACGTGTATAAGTGTTACAAAATAATTTATTCAACAAATGCAATAATGATACAGTATACAAAGTACAGATGTACATATATAGTCCGCGAAAGATTATTAATATCAATGCCATTATAAATATATTAAAGTATATCACTACAATATAATATACATGTGGTATGTTACATGCGCTACCACTTCAAACTTTTCTTTTTCCAAAAAACATTTAAAAAATGTAGTTTTTAAGGATATATTAGGAGGAGAGTGATGGAGACATAGGAAGGAATAGGAGATTCGAAAAGTGTATAAGTGTTACAAGATAATTTATTGGACAAACACAATAATGATACAATATACAAAGTACAGATTTACATATATAGCATGCGAAAGATTTACAATAACAGTACCATTAGAGATATACTACATATATCACTACAATATAATATACGTGTTGTATTTTATACATATGCGCTGCCACTTTAAACTTTTCTTTTTCCAAAAAACATTTAAAGATTAACAATAACAGTACCATTAGAGATATACTACATATATCACTACAATATAATATACGTGTTGTATGTTATACATATGCGCTACCACTTTAAACTTTTCTTTTTCGAAAAAACATTTTAAAAATTTAGTTTCTAAGGATATATTAGGAGGAGAGTGATGGATATATAGGAAGGCATAGGAGATTCGAAAAGTTTATAAGTGTTACAAGATGATTTATTCGACAATTGCAATAATGATACAGTATACGTATACAGTATATGGCTTGAAAAAGATTAACAATAACAGTACCATTAGAGATATACTACATATATCACTACAATATAATATACGTGTTGTATTTTATACATATGCGCTGCCACTTTAAACTTTTCTTTTTCCAAAAAACATTTTAAAAACTTGTTTTTAAAAGATATACTAGGAGGGGGGTGATGGAGACATAGGAAGGAATAGGAGATTATAAAATAGAACTCATTCGTACTTTGGGATATTCGCATAGGGCAGAAGAATATCAACGTGTATAACTGTTTAAAGGTAATTGCACTTCCTGGGCAGGATGTGGCTCCATCTCTGAGAGAACCAGTGAACTTTCTACGTTAAAATGTTACGATGGTAATTTGAAAATGAATTGCATTACTTCGAATTTTTGCTAATAAGGCAAAATCATGCACCTACTAGGCATGATTAGTGGATAAACAAATATGAACGAATAAACGAGTACAATGCAGTGAGAGATAAGAGCAGAAAGTAAGAGCTCAACAAGTAAAGAAGTAAATTTGATCGTAGAAACATAAGGACCAAAGGTGTAGAAATGGAGAAGAAATAAGGAAAGAGATAAATAAGAAAGTAAAGAAAGAAATATAAAAAAATTAAGAAATAAATATAAAAAGAGGAGGTTGGTTATGGATAAGAGGGATGCTTCCAAGACACCAGCACAGGAGACCAGCTCGAGGAAGAATGAGCGCTTTGAGTCCTGGCACTGCCTTAGCACTCCCCTCACTCCCGAATCCTTCGCGTCGAAATTGCGCGCAACTTATAGTACTTCTAAATATTCTTGACCAGAATTTCTGATTTTTAAGTGTTAATGTTTAATTTTATTGATTTAATTAATTTTTTCAATTTTCCAAACACGTAATTTATGTATATTTCGAATATTCGATATGATATATGTCGAAATTGTACAATTTCAATTCAACTTTTATCTACTCTGTATATTTCGCGAGATTTGGATTTAGTCTCAATTTGATATTTTGAATGAATTTCAAAAGTATGTACAATGATTCGAGGCTCCTCCGCTCAGGTGGCGCGTCGACGCCAAAATAAAATTGGTTTCAAGAAAATCGGCCCATTGGCAATCCCTACTGCTCCCTACTCATCTCTGCACCAACTACATTCAGGAAGATTAAATGCGTCGAGATCCCTCGAGATCCGTGTGTAAACTCAGCTTATGAACGCACCCTCCTTTCCCCAGTTTCGTGTGAGGACTCACGGATATCAGCTGATGACGTAACAAACAGCGAATACGACGGGCGACGAGGTTGCGACGACGACGGTGACGACGATAGCAATAGCGTTAGCGGACTTTCGCAAAAACGTTGTGTATTCGCGTTGATGTTGGTGGGCGCGAGAGAAGTATGGCGTAGGTTCCAGTAAAACTTTTGTGGGCTGTTTCATCGGTGAGCTCATTGCACCAATCTCTCGCTTTCGTGCTCAACGCCATAGTCTCGTGTGCTCTCTACGCTCACGCCGCACTCGATTCACGCCAGAGGAATCAAGAGGAACCAGTTGGAACTCGGAAGAAACCCACTGTCGACATTATTGGACATTATTGGACATCATCCCCGTGGTGGTGCTCCTACCAATAGAAGAATTTTCGCCAGCTACCCACTTTCCTACTAGAAGTGACCAGAACGAACACGATGAGTGTTGACGCGTACGGACCCAGCAGCCAGACCCTCACCTTCCTCGACACCGAGGAGGCAGACCTCATCGGGGCCGATACCCAGGGCAGTGAATTTGATTTCACGGATTTTACTTTACCATCGCCTAGCCAGACTCAGGCATCGCAACACGATGGAGCCCAAAGCCAGCAAAGTCAACCCGTGCAGGTTGGTTCTTTATGATGACTTCAGTTCATTTTCTAGTCTGTGCGTATTATTCAATCTTGGCATGACATTGTTCACCGCCACTAGTTCCTTCCTCAAGGAACCCATCGTTAATTCTCTACACCCATGCGGTTTATACCTAACCTCTGTTGGAGACACGCGGCAATATTGTCCCTCATTTGGGGACAAGATTTATTATCCAAAGATGAATCTTATTATTGTATTCTCTTGAAGGACTACATTTTTCTGTGGTCCAATATAAATCATGGCTATTTTCTCTGATTAGGTAAATGGGACCAGTGTTGCATCTTCTTTGGATTTGAAAATATCAGGTGCTGCACAGACATTGGCTGAGCTGCAGTTTGAAGAGGAGGAAGAGGAAGCCTATTACAATAGAGACTTGCCAGAACATGCATGTAAATATTGTGGTATACACGAGGCATCATGCGTAGTTATGTGCAATGTCTGTCGCAAGTGGTTTTGCAATGGACGTGGAAATACCTCAGGATCACATATCATCAATCATCTGGTTCGAGCCAAACACAAGGAAGTGACACTGCACAGGTAGGATTTATGATCGATAGATGGACTACTCAGTCTATATTAATTTTATTAATGTTATAGAGATGGACCACTGGGTGAGACTGTGCTAGAGTGTTACTCTTGTGCCGTGAGGAATGTTTTCGTTCTTGGATTTATACCTGCTAAGGCAGATTCTGTTGTGGTATTGCTCTGTAGACAACCATGTGCTGCACAGAGTTCCCTTAAAGATATGAACTGGTATGCTCCATACTTTTTCTCTTTGATGTGCCTGTCATATTGTACAATGATAAATGTATTTAGACACTTGTAGATTTCTATGTTGAGTTTCTTTTGTTAAGGGACCAGGAACAGTGGAAGCCATTAATAGAAGATCGCAGCTTTTTAGCATGGCTTGTGAAGATTCCTTCGGAACAGGAACAATTACGCGCAAGACAAATATCTGCACAGCAAATTAACAAATTGGAAGAACTATGGCGCGACAATGTGGACGCGACTTTCCAGGATTTAGAGAAACCTGGGGTAGATGAGGAGCCACAGCAAGTCTTACTGCGCTATGAAGATGGATATCAATATCAAAATATTTTTGGACCTCTGGTTAAACTGGAAGCAGATTACGACAAGAGGCTAAAGGAGTCCCAGACCCAGGAGAACATCGAAGTCAGATGGGACGTTGGCTTAAATAAAAAGACCATCGCATACTTTATGTTGGCGAAAACAGACGGCGATATGAAGTTAATGCACGGCGATGAACTCAGATTGCGTTATCTGGGTGAACTTCACAAACCATGGTCTGGCATTGGACACGTAATTAAAATTCCTGATAATTACGGCGAGGAAGTTGGAATAGAACTTAAAAATAATTCTGGAGCTCCTACCGAGTGCATCAGCAACTTCGTTGTGGACTTCATCTGGAAAAGTACCAGTTTTGACCGGTAAGTTTATTAATGAGGATGTTCTCAATATCGAGATATTAATCATATCGGTTTCGTTTGTTTGTTTAACGCAGCATGCAACTGGCTTTACGGAAATTCGCCGTAGATGACACTTCTGTATCCGCCTACATATACCATCGACTGCTGGGTCACGAAGTCGAAGAGGTTCTTTTCCGTTGCCATTTGCCGAAGCACTTCAGTGCTCCGAACCTACCCGATTTAAATAGATCCCAAGTATACGCGGTGAAACACGCCGTGCAACGACCATTGTCTCTCATTCAGGGTCCTCCAGGAACCGGAAAAACGGTAACAAGTGCCACTATTGTCTACCAGCTGGTGAAACAGAACGGTGGACCAGTTCTGGTATGCGCTCCATCAAACACTGCAGTAGATCAGCTCACTGAAAAAATTCACAAGTCGAACTTGAAGGTAGTGCGCTTATGCGCAAAATCTAGAGAGGCCATAGACTCTCCAGTGAGCTTCCTGGCATTGCACAATCAAATCAAGAACATGGAAACAAATACTGAACTGCAAAAGCTACAGCAGCTAAAAGACGAGACCGGCGAGCTTTCAAGCGCCGATGAGAAACGTTATAGACTTTTGAAAAAAGCTGCAGAGAAAGAACTACTAGAAGCCGCTGACGTAATTTGCTGCACTTGCGTTGGGGCGGGCGATCCTCGATTGCACAGACTGAAATTCCATTCTATCCTGATTGACGAAAGTATGCAGGCTACGGAACCAGAGTGTATGGTTCCTGTCGTTTTGGGAGCGAAACAGCTGATCCTAGTCGGGGACCACTGCCAACTGGGTCCTGTGGTCATGTGCAAAAAAGCTGCACGGGCAGGATTATCTCAGTCGTTATTTGAAAGATTGGTAGTTCTCGGAATCAGACCATTCCGGCTCGAGGTCCAGTATCGAATGCATCCTGATCTTTCACGATTTCCCTCAAATTTTTTCTACGAGGGTTCGCTGCAGAATGGAGTGTGTGCGGATGAGCGGAAGCTCCTGAAGATTGATTTCCCCTGGCCAGCACCCGATAAGCCGATGTTCTTCTACGTGACCCAAGGCCAGGAAGAAATTGCTGGTAGCGGAACTTCCTATCTAAACAGAACTGAAGCATCAAACGTTGAGAAAATCACAACACGTTTTCTGCGATGTGGTGTAAAGCCAGAGCAGATTGGAGTGATAACCCCTTACGAAGGTCAAAGAGCCTACCTGGTACAATATATGCAGTACCAGGGCTCCTTACACTCCAAGTTGTACCAGGAGATAGAAGTAGCGAGTGTTGACGCTTTCCAAGGCCGCGAAAAAGACATTATAATTATGTCTTGCGTACGATCGAACGAGCATCAAGGAATAGGTTTCCTGAATGATCCCCGACGATTAAACGTAGCTCTGACGCGAGCCAAGTACGGAATAATAATCGTGGGCAATCCTAAAGTCCTGTCTAAGCAGCCACTCTGGAATCATCTGCTGAGCTTCTACAAAGAACAGAAGGTGCTAGTGGAAGGACCACTGAACAATCTGAAGGAATCCATGATTCAATTTGCTAAACCTAAGAAGCTGGTGAATGCAGCCAATCCTGGCTCCCACTTCATGTCCACGTCCATGTACGACGCCAGGGAAGCACTGATTCCAGGGTCGGTCTACGACCGTTCTGGCACTCAAGTGAACGGGACGCAAAATCATAATCCCTACTATCAGAGGAATGTTCCTCTGGACATCTTCAGTAGAACTCACGACACAATCAGCTACATAAGTCCTGAACGGGCTCAGGCGGCGATGAACAACGTGCCCGTACCCGTAGGCATGTTCATGAACATGGCCCACGTCCCACCGCGTTTCTACAACCAGCATCAGCAAGCACTCCAGGCCCGGCAGAACCAGCGTAACCGTCGTGGCAGTAGCGGCATCAAGAACAAACCAGGACCCCGAGTTGGAAAGCTAAGCCAAAGCGAGCAGAACACTCAACCGTACAGTCAATCAGGATTACCCTTGACTCAGGGCACCACCCAAGGCATGTCGCAACCAGGATTCAGTCTCTCGCAACCTGGACTCAGTCAAGCTGAACTCTCCCAGGACTCGTTCGCCGTCGGCGAGTTCCAGTCCCAGATGGACGGTCTACTTTCCCAGGATTCGACGTACCAGGGCGATCGGAGTGGGTTCTATCAATCCGGTCAGTCCCAAGCTGGGGGCCAATTTTCGCAGCCCTATTGAGCCGAAAGGATACGGCTGTATAACGCATTCGCCATGCAGCGTCGCGGGAGCGACTGAAGGCTCGTTCGACCAACTCTTCTTCGACCAACAACCAAAAAATCACCAACGCGCAAAACGGGGTAAAACGGCTCGGCGTTCGAGTCACGAGTTATTATCGACGGAGGCGGCTCGTCGCGTTAAACAAAGAGGTTATTCAGCAAAAGGGGTATTAAGCGATTGGCGGAGGCCACCAGCGATATCTTCATCCATCATTCATCCCTCTGTTTTATCTATCGCTCGCAACAGACACGCGGCAAACAACACCGAACAGCTACACACAATATCCACAAACCAGACGCATGCTCTCTCCGCACGGTAGAAGAGCCAAGAGGGAAAAATACATACGATTCAATACACAGCGAAAACGACATGAAAAGAAGGACATATACGAAGACAATTATTACCGTCAAGGAACACAGAGGGTGATGATTCACCGGACGACTGGATATCGGCAAGACTAGACATACCTTCCGGTTCTGGAGCGATCGTGACCTACCTGTCCAGGAAGTGATTAGTTGCCGGCTCAAGAAAATTGACAAGTGTCCCAGAAAGCGTGTAACGGCCAAGAGACTGTGAGGGATGCAAATTCCCCCCGAAGAACATTTCTCAATTCCTCGTCTTTGTACATCCGTCATGAAGTAATGCAGGTTACAGGTAGACTGGGAATGACCGCGGGATATCATCGAGGATTCTGATGGCTTCGCACGTAGAGACACAACTTTTCAACTTGCCTCTTCGACTTCTATGCCTCCTTTTGCCGAGCTGCCTGACCAATCGCAGCGGAAGCAAGACACACCTTGACACTCGCTCAACACAAGCTTTCCTTTACCTGGAGGACGAACGCGCCGAGGGGACATCCGACACTGGACGCCCTGGGACACTCCTCGTCTTCCCGTTCAGCTCTGCTCGACAGCTGGAGCTGGACGCTAGTTAAAGTTTCTGAGTCACGTCCGGATGTGTTAGGGCCAGGCATCCTTAAGCACTGGTCACTTTTCGTGTCTTTCATTTAGTTCGAGGCGATTGCTACCGCCGAAGCCCTCGGAGCCGACGGAGCCGACGGATGGGCTATTTCAGTTTTTCTGTCTTTGAGTCGCGTTTCTCACGGTAGGGAAGGGGAAGCGGGTAACAGGGTGGGAAGGAGCGGCAAAGGAATACCAGGAGGGTTGATCGGAGAACGAGGAGTCAATATCGAAGGATGAAGAGAGTTCGAAAATCCTAAGCAACGATGGCGGCGGGCATCAGGTCGAAGTGGCCCTCGTCGAGGATGCCAATGGTTTCCTGCTCCTTCCGGATACGACAGCCGCATTATAATCGGGGCCCGTGAGAAGCTGAATGTCAGTAAATCCGCGTACGGTGAGATCGTTCCGTGTTTTAATTCATTACTTTTAATGTCTAAGGATATGTCATAGTCCGTTAGCGTTCAGGGGATTTTACTTGTTTTATCAGATCGATATCGAAAAGTGTCCTATTCGACTTTGATTCATTCGTAATTCTTGTTCTCTCCATCTTTCGTTAGTTTTCTTCCTTATCTTCATCTTTTCTTTCTTTAAGTCCTTTTCAGCGAGATCAACTCGTACGGTGCACTGGCTGTATTTCGATATTCTAATTTCGTTACTACTTGTCTCCTTTCTGTCCTTTTTCTTTTTTTAATATTATTCTACGACTTTTGCAATGCGTTAGCTGCACCTGCTGGTAGCTACTTTGCCTTTACGGGCTACGAACCACTCGACAGAATGGCAGTCCGCATTAATCGACGCAGCGACAAAATTACTTATCCCTTTAGTTCTCTCATTGTCTGACGAACAGCGCACCGCTAACTAACTGCAGATTACAATACGGAAATTCACTGTAAAACCTAATGGTGGTACCAATAAATTTGATTTGAAAATGCAATGCTTTCTTTCTTTTCTTTCATCCATGCTTACCGATCCTTCGCTCGCTCTTGTTCATCGGACCAAGATACCTGTAAAATGTTGCACAATCCTTTCATAGACACTGTACACACGATATATAAACATTGCATTTATTTAACAACAAAATGAAAGTTACAAAAGAATAATTTAATAATATCTTTATCACCTAGGAATTTACAGGGTGTTCTTCCTTTTTTTTTTCCATTTTTTTTTTTTTTCTTTTAATATAATGTATATATAATATAGATATAGTATTTCCTGCGCGACCGTATGCTTGACCGAAAAAAAGAAATGGTTTTGTGATTTATCTTTCTTTCCTAATTTTCCCCTGTTCACGTGAATTTATGTAAAATGAAGTAATGGTCGTTTCTCCCGTCTACGCAGAAAATTTTATTTAATGTACACGTTCTTTTTGACGCGCTTATCGCGGTACACGTTTATCGCTTTTTTCCGCGGTTAGTCACATTTCTCTTTTTTTTTTCTTATATTTTTTTTTTTTTTTTGGTTTTAATTATGATCATTATTCCTTCTTTTAGAAAGTGAAATTTTGGCACTTGTGATTACATCCGACTATTAGATAGGACGTAACGTAGTAATCGAAGAGCTTTCCGGGTCGGCGCCAAATGAAGAAATTGAAATTGCGCAACTACCGAAACTCTTCGATTGCATATAAGAATTATACTTAGCAGAAAACTTTAATATACGTAGTATATACTGCCGACACAGCCTTATGTATTCATTTATTCTCCTCCTATTCGTTTTCCCTCGATTTTTATAATTTTTGATCAAATTATCACATACAGATTTAAAGTCTTGCTTTCACGAAGAACACCGCGATGTCGAAGGAGCGTGTGTGTCCGTATATGTGTGTATATATATGTACATAAGTTTGGCGCATCTCCTTTTAGGTTCGATGACCGACCAGCTAGGATCCCGAATATCAGGAATTTCAGGAGTATCGCTAGGCAACAGAAACCAGTGGGAAAAAATAACTAGTCGACGACTGTTTCGCAAGACTAGAAACGAAAAAAACTGCAAGACCGTGAGTTTCTCATGGCTTCTCGCTCTAACGTACTTATATCACATTGTCGTCCTTAGGTAGATATTAATAACACGTATAAAATTTCTTCCCCGAGCTTCGCGCGACCTGCTATTACATTCCGTTCCTGGCGCCAAGAGCTTGCGTAATTTGCCAGGCAAAAAAGGGAAAAAAAAGTTTAAGAAAAGAAAAAAAAAAGCAGCGCCTTCGCGCGAGACGAGCGAGTAGAATTTCAGCCACTTCAATAGGAACTTTCGTTTGTCCTTCGACATTTCAATGCCGAAGCTCGAAAAAGAATCGAGCAAGACACCGTTTGAAATTTTTCAAAATTATCACGCCTGCACTTTTGTCTTCGTCCGTAAAGAGATTCCAAAGCAAGAGAGGAGGAAGAGTCAGCGGAAAGTAAAATAAAAGAAGAAGATGCGGAGAAGCAAGGAAAGGGAAGGAAAAGCAGTTGGAGGCCTCAGGACAAGCCCGGCCTTTGCGTTCTCGACGACAACGACGACTGTGAGAAAATTTACGAGAAAACGTGGAAATTTCCTATCGATTTGTCCGAATGTATCTTATCGGAATTCCTCTCGAATAACCAGCGAACTCCTGAAGGCTCCCGAATGTGCGAACCACTTACGAAAAGCATTAATACTACGAAACTTAAAAATCATTAACTCATCCCATCGTTTTTTTTTTCATTTTCCAACATTTTCTCTGGAATTCCCTTAGTGTTTTTATATAGTTGTTTTTTTTTTAATTTTTTTCATCTCTCCTATATTACAGGTGGATTCCTTCGTGTATGCTGCAATCACTCTCCGATGACGGATTGCGCTAATGTAAACGAATGCAAATTTTTTTTTGATTTAGATTTGATTTTTGACATTCCCGGTCATCCACCTTTTTCCCTTATCGCGATATGTGAGTTAAGCGACCGGACCGAACGTATCTTGTCGATCGTTGCGATTTCAAACCAAGTCTCGAACGGCGAGTACGTCGGGCGAAAGTCTTGTCATGAATATTTCATTATGTCTCGTGCGTTATCGTATCTTTTCCAATCGCGCTCGAGTTTTTTTAACGAATTCTTGATCGCGAAGAATCAATAACTTAGATGGAAGGCGTTAAAGTTTAAACGTGACGGAATCTTGACTGCTGCGTTTCGGATACCGATATGGAACAAGTCACGTTTTCCAGGTTTCGCGACCGCTCGCGTTTGGCAAAAGGAACAAAGCAAGAAAGAAAGCAGGAAGGAAAGGAAAAAAGGAAAAAAAAGAAAAAAGGTAACAAGGAAGACAAAGGAATAATGGCAAATGGTTCTTCGAAGACAATACAAATCTCTGCTCTCTCCGCTGTTCCACTCTTTCGCTCCGCCTGACTGATAATAATCGCTCATTTATCACAAGTTATAAGCGTGCCGTATCAAAAGGACGACGAAGAAGTCGCGTCCGACGTCCCTTCGAGCGCCCGGTCGCCGGGTCGGGCTTCAGCCTCGTAAAAAACTGGACGCTCAAATATTAAAATAGCGTCCAATAAATAATTAGCCTAACTAATATGACTATGATTGCTCGGCTCTGGCTCGCGGTTACGTCGTCGGTTCGAATTTGACGAAGATGCTCGCCAAGTCCTGAGATTCCTTCAGTTTCTGGTAGCTGCGAGCAAAGACCCGTTTTATTCGGCTGAAGACATCTGGATCGTAGACCGACCTTGCCGTGTTAGTGAGATCAAATGGCTCTGCACAGATTCATTTGGCTGTGTTCGCTACCTGCTTTAGGCAAAAGTACTATCAATCTACGGATTCTTACTCACCTTCGATGCAGAGATACTTCCATTGGTGAGGGTCGTTCTTGAAGGAACGAACTCTCCGACACTCCTCAATTGCAACTTTATCTGCCAGTCGCACCGAAATCGCGAACATACTGAAACTTTTATTAAATTCTATTTTCGAAAATCCCTAGAAAAGGTATTTCAAGTACTTCAGAATTTCGACTAACTCACTCGAACGACACGTAGTACTTGAAGAAAGATAAGAGGAGTTCGCCCAAGGATTGGCGATTCAGTGGCAAGGAGCTCATCACGCTGATGTCCAAATCCTCGTGAATGTCTATTAGATGAATATCCGTGGACGGGCCAAATTTTCCATCGTAAAGAGAGTGTAGACAGGGCAGAACCGCTGGAGTTACGCCACCTGATATAACATAATTTTTTAAATCTTACTTACAATCGTCTCTCCGTTTTCCGTGTACTTACACTGCAAGAAGTGTATAACCATCAAAACTAGCGAGTAACTGGAAATTGTCATGTTTTTAGCGTCATTGATGTCCTGAAATTGCGCCCATAGTTTGATGACCAACACCAGCGGCCTGACTCTCCAGTCGACTAGAATGCAGGAATTTTAATAGGAATCCAAGAGAACTCGAGGAAAACGTAAGCGACTCGTTCTTACCTTGGGAATAGCAGTAAAGTAAATGTGTATTTCTGATACCGACTGCGTTATTGCAATTAAGATCGACCTCCAGATTCTGCATGGAATCATGAAACTTAAGAATGGGCACCTTCGCTTGTATCAATTCGAGCTGTTCGATAAAATCTGAAAGATACGACAGTCCCATTATTTTCTCACGAGCGGATTTTGATGAAAAATAATCAAGTCTTCTTGGTAAGTACCACATTTTTTGAGGCACTTAAGTATCTGTTCGAGATGTCCAATGGCTTCGTTTCTTTGATCCATCTCTGTATGTCTCACTAGAAGACACATGTCCACGTCGCTGTTGTCTGATCCGAAACCGTTCATCGTGGACCCAACGAGAAAGAGTCCGTACTTTGGAAACGTCGACTGACAATGAGAAATCATCATAGAATGAATTTTAATCTTCAATTGAATTATTCGTATCTTTCAGTCTTCTGACCGACTTACCTTAATATAAATATAGAGATATTTCCAAAGCATCATCTTGTTCCTGTAAGTCGTCTCAGTCTGCTGATTGGACATAAACTTCTCCCAGACATCACGCGACAGATCGTCCCAGTGGGAGCCATTAAGCAGATCTTTAGGGACATGGGTGACTTGGATAAGGTGCGACCGTGCCAGAAATCTGTCTGGCGCTATGTAGTACCTAGGGAACATACTGTAGTTCGGCAGGAGGACACCGGAGAATCTTCTACCTCTTTGAGCCCTTTGCGGTGGCGGACTGTTCTTGCCTAGAATCGAAGTGCTCTATTCTGTATTTCGCATATTTACCTTAGAGCTATGTTAGGTTCATTCGTAGTGCTTCTCCTACCAGAATGGTATCGCCTCTTGCCCTGATAGTTCTGCACCTGTGATCGTGGTGCCGGGACCGTGCTATGGTAGTAATTGACAGGTCGTTGACTCTGATAAAATTGGTGCGCCGATGCACTCGAAATCAGGCCTTGAACGCCTGTGTTAGTGGGCTGGCCATGGTGGTTCGTGCTGGGATGCACTTCGTGCAATCTTCTACGAATAGATAGAAATCAATGTGAAACAAAGAAGTCGAATGCTCGAAAAGAGGGACAAAGGATCAAGTGCAAGAGAATGAAAAGGAACTAGGATTTTGGATAAAATTCGCGTAAATTTCAATGTACCGGTACGCACTTGATGCCTTGCTCGGCCGATGACGCTATGGAGTCTCGCTCGTCTGAACTTTCGGTTTGACTACCGTCAGCCTGGTGTTTGTTAGGCGTTGGCGACCGGGAACTGAAACCGCTGTCACTGTTATACATCTCGTTCTGGGAAAAGGATTCTCTGTAGGCATTCCTTTTACCCGCCTTGTTATTCCAATTAGGCTTCTTTATTGAGCCAGTATTGGCTGGTCTGAAATTTAGATGGGGCGGCGGCATCGTGGGTGCATTGTTGGTAGGACTGAGGCGTCTCTGCCAACTAGCACTGGGAGCTCCGCCGCCCTGCATGCTGCTATAGCCTCCGCGTCGCAACGGTGGAATCTCAACGCCCATCAGCTGCAACAGTTCCAGCGGATAGGCCCCTGTCTGCAATTGGAAGCCATCATTAAAACATAAGTTGTGGACCTTGGGAATTAATGAAATTTAAGAAACGAGCAGTTATGTTGAAGCGACTCCAGGACGCTCAATGTAAGCGAGAAACACGCAAACCAAGATTTATGGCAAAGGACCAAAGGAATTCATGCACGAGGATGAGGATTTCAGAGATCATGCAGGATGAATGAAAATAATTCGCGACACGATATGAAATCAAACGATATGTAATCAAGAAACGTTATCGGGTGAAGTGTACTTCGGGCTGTGGATCCTTGTTAGTCTGAACTTCGCCTGGACATCCTTGGATATCTGTAATAACTCTGGAGAGTATCGGTCAGAGTTCTTTCTCGCAGTTAGGCGATACGTACCTGCATCAGCCGATGCCCTCTGTGACCCGAATCGTCTGGCACGTATTCGCTTTGGTGCGCACCGCTCGCGTTCCTAGTATGCACCTGGTGCGACTGCGTCGGCGGACACGGCCCGCCAGGTTGCTGTCCGCCCATTATCTGCACCAGCATATGTGGTGAAAACATAGCGTGATACATAGTCTAAACAAGCGTGCAAATTAATACGCAACAACAACCCACTCTGTCTCGATAATTCCAAAGGTACTTATTGCTTCTCTATTACTTCTCCTTTATTTGATGCTTTGTTTTTTTGAGAAATTTCGAAAATGGCTCGATTGCACGGATCTAGGTTCTATTGAACAATCACAAAGCTAATCCAGCCACGACAAAGTCTCAGTGAAGAGCTGTCTACTAGTGGACTTGCATTAAAACTTGCTGTATGATTTTTCCAGCAAAACATTTCAAGATTTGTGTAACAAGAATTATCGAATTATCGAATGATGAGTTTGTGCGTTAGTTGCACGTAATGTTCCAAAAGTTGCCAATTTCTGGAGCCTTATTGACGTTCCTAATACATATTAAATGTCCACACTTATTGATAGTGCAGAATTCCTTGTCTCTTTGAGATATTTCTGAAGAGTGTTACGTTAATTTATAGTTGATGATTAATTGCGAACATTAAAAGGTCCGCCCTTTCGCAAGAAATCCCTTATATGGCATGGATTACAATTTATAGAATTCCATCTCCTGAAAACAGATAAAGATCATTTAGTATTCCGTCATATGATGACCAGTGACCATCTTGATGAAATGATTCCACTAGTATTCGCCACACTGCTTAAGCTCCATAGCCAGAAGTATCTCTTGTAAGATACACTTTCTCACAGAACTGAATATTTTATATGTAACGTTTCTTGATAAAGGCATACTGTGCAATGGCAAAGAACTAAAGATATTGGACAATGAGGTTATTGTATACTAAATATAAGAATGTCAAAATGATGTCATTGTAATAACTGTAGCAACACTTCAATATAAAATCTGCAATATCCTGAAGGCCCCATGCTCATTTCAAAGTGAAACTGCAAAAGTGGATGCTATTTATTGCAGAATACCGGCTAAACGAGGAAGATCCAAAACAGCATTAGGTTAAGCCTTACAAGTATATCCATACATAATAAAGGATCTTCATAAGGAAGTCGAACTAAAAATTCATAATTAAAAGGTTCAAGATAATTTTAAGGTAAACTAAGGTAAAGTAAAAGACAAGTTAAAGAGAATCAGTCAGAAATATGAAAAAAGAGGTAGGTGGGTACCAGTCAATAAGCAAGCAAGACTTATTGATAAAAACGATCAATATCAAGAAGTAGCCAAGAACAAACAGTCGTAAAGAAAAGCAGCACGTAGCGATATATGCAGAGGACTTTAAATCAGGCCTAAGATCGAACAAAAAATGTGAAACACAAGGAAAATACCTGTTTTCAACAGCACGTATCGACAGTCGCCATGTTGCGGGCATCTATCTCAGCGCGACGGTGGTTCTCGCATAAAGTTTCTTTTCACCTTCGACCGATTTTAATATCGTGATAACCCTTTGACAATGATTAAAGCGAGAACCAACGATATGATACTACACCTTGGATAAACCAAATTTAATTCGATTTTTTCTAGAAATCGCTTATTCGTCCTGAACCTCGGACCTACTAGATCGCTTCGCCACTAGATACACCGCTTGATTATTTCAAACGACTTTTTCGATTTTGCGAGATTGGATCTTCTACCTATCGTTCGTTTATTCATTCGAAATTTTGAATTATGTACACGCGTCATCGACGTTTTTGTGATTTCGTATCATCATATTTCGTATTAGATGCTGACAGATGTCTCTACAAGGTTTTTCTACCATCGTGTTATCAACTGAGCATTATCACATTTCAACCGTACTAAATTTAATCATTCACATTTATTGCACATGCTGAACCTTAATATGCTACTGCATTATTTCAATAAACGAGTCTTTTTGTGAACATCACTGTACACATCATTGTTTTCTAATTCAAAAATGAATCAGAAACAGTCGACGTGGCGTTGATATTTCATGCAGTTTGCGACATTTTGCTTCAAGATGGCACCTATAGTTTCATTCCTCCAGCTGACAACGGCTGTGTCCAGTATGGCGATTGTTTTTCAATTTCAAAGCTGATCATGGCATTCACCCTGTGGACGTTGTTTGAGGCGACCCTTCTGTGCCTGAACGCCGTGTGCGTCTTACACGAGGAACGCTTCCTGGTGAAAAGTAAGTCAGACAGAAACTATCCTTGATCTCCTGTTTGGAAGTTCTTACATATCCTGGTGCATTGTGTACTCTACGGACTGGGCAATGAAGTGGCCAGCTATGACGTAGTTCTCCATCGCCTTTCATATACCTTCTATTAAACACTCGTTACTTTGTACATAACGACTACTTAAAATACGGTTGGTTCACGTTCAGCTCAAAATCCTTCGTGTGTAATTAATTCAAAATGCCTGTCATGTCTGTTGATTGGCAGCCACGTTGACCCACGTGTTTCATTCTGCCACTAAATCAAGTCATTAAATACTGTATTTGTTTTTAGTGGGATGGGGAGCACAGCAAAATATCCAAGGATTTGGAGAATCACCAACCATCAAGTCACAGATGCTGAACCTAGTGCGCTCAATCAGAACAGTAGCAAGGTGTAGGTATTTTTTAATTAAAATTGATACCACTTTATATATGAAACACACGTAATAATGAACTCTTTTCCTTATAGTTCCTTTGATATTTCTCAACATACTGACCATCATAGTGAAGCTGGTGCTGGGATGACCAACCGAAAGTAAAGTAAGAGTGAGAGAATGTGATAAATGCGTGCAAACTGAATCGTGTAAAAAGGTGTAAGTGGGACTGGCTGATATAGAATTTTTACAGTAAATAAAGTTTGACGTTTAACTAGCATCCGCTTCTCAGTTGCGTTCTCGAAGATGTGCGTCAGGATCGACACAAAATTCATAAGGCAATTACGGCCGGTACGACCGTGTAAGAGTATTCGCTCTCGGGATCCTTTCCCACAACAAAACGATCTTACGAAATCGAGTGCTTGATCTCGCTTTCGAGCAATCGCCGGCCGCATCTTACTTTCGTACTGCTAACCAAATCGGCCCGATGACGTGATCCTCTCGTGAGAAAACTCTCACAGTTTCCACCTCGCGGCGAAATCCATTCGTTCGATCCTGTTCAGTTTCCAAAAGTCCCAGAACACATGTCCTTATTCTAGTTGCAGTACACGACCGGCCGCTCGATCCTCTTTACGGAATGCAGACGCGATGCGCTGACCGATACGTTAAATAATTATCGAATGGCGTCTCTTATGGGAACAGAAATTATGAGGCAAGCAACATCACTGCCGACTGGAATTGCGATCTCCTTTACTGGAGCACCGAGTCGCGTAGATGCAACCAGATGCAACCCAGCCCGTCTTGCGCAACAACTCGTTTGATTTACCGCCGCTGCTGTTAGTCCATTGAGCTAACCTCTTTTTTTTCCTTCTTACGAACTCCATTATTTCCTTTTTCATTACTTAATAATACAGGTCCCATATATTCACAATTAACGTGGCTCGCTCTACCAAGATGATCTGGACGGACAATCTCGAAGATTATGGCTAATTAGGGTAACGTAATACAAGTAGGGAACTGGGAATTTCTGCTAGGCTGATTGTGAGTAGCGTTCGCACGCGTCACAGCTTTTGTGCTTTCTCTCACTAGGGACTTAACGCAGATTCATTTCTTTTCACTCGGCGCAATCGTTTCTACTTCTTGAGTTTCCGCGAGATTGTTTAAAGTCGTATTTTCAAAAGGCGACATCGAAACGCCGTAGATTCAAACGTTGGGCAGCAATTTGAGTTTGCTCAACTCAATGACTTCATTTACACGTAAGAGAATATTGTCGCTCGTCATTTCTTAATTACACGTCCCTTGCGACACGACTCGTTGCCCAATTGGGACATCCCTGTGGACAGACCTTTTGACTGTTGCAATGTCGAAATTAAAAAGAAAAAAAAGATACATCTTTCCAGAGTATTCGCATATCCCGTCAATGAATAGCAGCTTGATTGGACGCCTAACTCAAGGACTAATGAAGTCGACTTAATTGGGAAGGTGGATCCAATTGAGGGGGACACTCTCCTCTGTGAGCAGCACCTTAACGATCAGTGAATTTACGTCATGTCCGAGGAGTTCGTGCCCCCGGGGCCAGAGAGCTCGCGCGATTGCCAGTCCGAGTGAAAGGAGAAAGGCACGGAGGCCTCTCGAAAAAAATAGGCCCTGGCCGAGGAGTGAAAGAATAAAAAAACCGAATAAAAGATTATACAAGTCAAGGAATAAAATAAAAGTTTCGACGAGGGTCGGGAGGTCAGGCGATGATGGACCTCTTGGGAAAAAGAAATCGTGACGTCATTGGAAGAATGTTCAATTAAGCCAGTTGACGAAAGTATAGTCTTGGTGACAGAGTGAAATTCAGAAAAAATACAGAGACGCAATTTTAACGGTGGCGACGTTCTTTTTTTTTTATTTTTTTCTACAAAAAAAAGCCTTTATACAAATACAAAAGTTTGCGGTGTTACAAGTAAGGTAGGTAATTGTTACAAATGGTAGAAAAATAGTGTATTCGTGTGTGATGTGTAGTTGTCTTTGCATGGGCCCAGTCGCACACTCATTCACTGGGCCCAGTCGCTCTACCCGTCCCTTCCTGGCGCCGCGACGCCATCCACTGATGCGTCCTGCTCGATTGGCGCTTCCGGGAAGATTCGGATCGAGGTTCCCTATTCTCTGGTGTCTTTAGTGTAACCTGTATTTACAAGGCGCCATGGCGCAAATCACGTATTCTCCTTCCTCTTGGCTCTCCTTCCATCAACCCACCATACTCAATGGCTGATCCATTGATATCCTCGACTCTAGCTCTTGATAGGAGAAAATATAGAAAATCCCTTCGTCTCATCCTTCCGACACTTTCCTCCAGCAGTCGGTACGACCTCGCGCTCTCGGCACACTGACCGGCCCTGGCCTGCCCCAGCTACGACTGTCTGATCTGCGACAGGCCAGTTCAGGGCATATCCGATCCTCATCCAGAGATCCTCTCTCGATGGGACCCTTAAGGTTGGTCCTTGGTCATCGGGAGGGGATCGAGGCTAAGGTCCACCTAGTGCCCGGACACCTCTCTACTGTTTAGAACGGAGCACCGTAGCTGCCGGAGGGCTTGCTAGGTGCACCATAGCTTCCACTGGGTCCACTAGGATAGCCACCACTGGGTCCACTCGGGTAGCCGCCACTGGGTCCACTCGGGTAGCCACCAGGTCCTTGGCTGATCTGATTGAATTGAGCGACTTGGATGGCCTGACGAATGCCCTCGAGGTCGATTCCAACGACTCTTGTCTGGTATCCAGGAACACCATAAGACGAGCTTGGTACTCCGTACTGCGATGATGGGGCACCGTAGCTGGAGCTTGGTGCGTATCCAGATCCTCCGAATCCACCGCTCTGCTGGGCCTGGAGTTCTTCCTTGAGGAGAATTTGTCTGATCTGTTCCAAGAGCGCACCGTCCACGGAGGCACCCTCGTTGGTCTGATAACCAGCTGAGACCTGAGTGTATCCACCACCGCCACCGCCACCGCCGCCGGAGAACCCGCCAATGCTCGAGCTACCGCCAAAGCTGGGTCTGTTGTAGTTGTAGCCCGAGGAAACTGGAGGCTCTGCCACGGCCAGGCTGGCTAGGCCGACTACCATACACTGCAAATCAAAATGATTCCTCGTACAGATGGATGATCCCGTTACTATGGTAAATGCTTATGATAAATACTGCTACTAGCAGGAATGATCATAAAGTAATAGTAATTCAATAGGCTCCTAGCTCAAACACTCCACCGGAATAAATCTCTCACCGGAACCGTAGAAACTATGGAGAAAATGCAAAATCCACTTGGACTCGAATTCTTACCGCGATCAGAGGATTCATGTCGGCTTCTGCGATGCCGCGAGGTTCTGTGACTCTGTGGTAGGTGCACCGGGGCCTTTATATATCCCGTGGGTGAAGCAGGGGGCTCGTGGGGACCTGAAGAAGAGACGGGGGTCGAGTGAGAGTAATTCGATTCTACTCGGATACTCGCGACGCTCTTTTTTCATTCCCTCTCTCTCTCTCTCTCTCTCTCTCTCTCTCTCTCTCTCTCTCTCTCTTTCTCTCAGCCTAACTCCTCCACACAACCATTCCTCGATAGTTAATCCCATTCGCGATTCGGACGACCTTACTCTTGCGACACGAATCCTCTCGGCAAGTGCCTCTTTGGTAGTTCGACTCTTCGCCTCTTCAGGCTGCGTTAGCGTCCTAGACCTAGTCGCATTGTCGCTCGAGTATCCTGAGACAACCACCTCCACCTCCATAAGGAGTAATGTCTTTCGTAGTTTCGCAACTTTCGATCGATTACGAGCCCCTCGAATACCATTAAAGTTCTCTCTTTCTTCCTCTCTATCTCTTTCTTCTGCATGGTGTTGCCCTATAGGCTCATCAAAGGCAATCATAGACTTTACAAAGAGATTGGTACTCGATTCGTGTACGTACCAAGACTGTGCAATTCGTCAGTGAGAAATTTTGTCTACGAACTTCCGTTTCGCGGCTTGGGAATTTTTTTTCTCTTTTTCATAATCAACGATATTCATCCCGAGTAACGTCAACAGCTTATCCTTTTGTCTGATGCATCACCAGCGGGATTTCGTAATCGCCTTTTGTCCCTCGCCGTTCAAAATGCGCGATCCAATTACTTTTGCCGTTGCTGTTTCGCGCTTCTGTTTTCTCAAGCTACCCGGTAGATCGGCCAGGAAGACAAACCGCATTTTATAGTCACTGTGACTCTTCCGTGGCGAGAGATACACCAGTGCCCGCGTGTTCTCCGTGCCAGTTACTGCTGACCGAACGAACGATAGTGAAATCGCTTTCTTCTCTCGTGTTCTTCGCCTCTTCTTTTGCTTTTGCTTTTACCTTGAAAAATCTTTTCTCTGCTCAAATTATTAATTCTGTCCTCAGGCCTTAAACGGAGCACACGTGACTCCAGAGGAAGAAAACAAGTTTGGAGACTTAGCTGAGGCTGTCGCTGTCGCTTGAATCATCACGAATATCGAGTCGACGAGTGTGAGGCGCCTCGGTGATTTATGCTCGACTACCGTAAGCTGCTTGGCTTTACGAAATTGTTCTATTTAAAGAATCTTTTCTGACACAATTTTCGTATTGCGTAGAAAGTATGCTATGGAGAGTCCATCGACTGCCGTTATTGATAAACCTTATAAAAGAGGGACAGGTCAAGAAGGTAAAAATGAAGCTGAGAGGTCGAAAGGAGCGTCGTAAACCTTTGAACTCGTCCCATGAGTATGCTAATGCGATGTACACGGTATAGTCAATATTTGACATAGCGCCCATTAGGTAACTATAATTTAAAGGCCTATTAACGTACACGATCCTCCATGAGCTACCCGAAAAATGGTCTTGGACCAAAAGTAAAAACAAGGCGCATCTATTTTCTCTGTTCGTCAATTAAAAAAGGAGACCCAGGAGGCTGCGTCTTTCATTCCGGCTCGTGTTGCGCAGTCAGCAGTTGATTATTCTCCGATGTGTTTAACATTTGCCGGCAGCTCGCTCGAGCATCTGCAGAACGGTGGCAAACACAGCCGATGAAAGAGGATGACTTCAGTCCTCGTTTAACCATTTATTAGTCTCTTACTCTCGTAACGAGTTTCAGGTAGAAGTACACATGCTGCCGTTGCGCAACGTCGGCGCAAGGTTCTTACGGGAAACGTATCACGTTCCGAAGAGGTAGAAGGTCTCTTGCTCAAGATAATAATTCGGCGAGTCCGGCGTCCAGACGAATTGACCTCCTTCGACGATCCAGGAGAATTCTCCAGGTTGCATCTTGAGTGGGAACTTTGCGGCGCTCCGTGACGTCGTCCTTCTTCAGTTTCTTCGACTCGTCCTTTTCCTTCTTTCATCCGGGCGCCCTGCGTCTATAAACATGGAACCATCCGGTTTGCCCATGCGTGGACCATGGACGCGAACGCTAAAGCGAACTCGTGCTACGTGGCACGGAACTGAAAGCATAACTACTTTGGATGTTATATGGATGTGAAGCGACTTCTGGAGCGTCCCGTACATCTTCCCATGTAATTATCGTGGCAGCTTGTGAAAACTGGAGAAACTCTTCCGGTTAGGTAAAACAGCACCAGCTGACTCCTCTCATCTTACCTTCTAAATACCTGGATGCTACATAGAAGTACCTGGATTAGCGTCACAGTTCCGAGAGTCATTTTAAATTCTCGACTAGGCGCAATCATTATCGAGCACCCGTTAATCACTTTATACGTAAACAAGTATGCTACTTTGAATACGGTGACGTCCCTTTCTCAAAGTTCGCAAAACGGTCCATGAGTTTGGCTCTCGCTCATTGGGCAACGTCCACGCGCTTCTTGTCGCAACACTCGCGTCTAATTCCACAAGTCCGCATTCCCACCTAATCTTCGACAGAGGATTGCACCTGGTTTCACCAAAGCCTGTGGCCTTTCCGTTTGCGCCAGCGGCGTCAACGTCTTCAGGCACCTGCTGCTCCCTGTCCACAGTTTTGCCTGCTCAATTTTCCTCGAGCCACGCGAAATTCATCTCACAGCCGTTCGCGTCGTTCGAGACGAGACAAGGCTGGCCATTATTTTGGATAATCAGAAAACTCACCCGAGATACCATTTGACGTGGAAGAATGACGTTACGTCCCTGGGCAGCTACCTTCAGAATATTTACAAGCGTTTGTTGCCCACTTCACGTCTCGCGATCCCACATTCATCTAAAATCCAATACTTTCCTTTCGTTATAAAATCCACGGTACCCGAGGACCCAGACTCGTCCCCCCAGCTCCCCCAGCTCCCTCGGCTCGGCACACCAGGACGATTGTATCGCGTTCTTAAATTTCGGAGTCTCGCTCAGCGCTGTTCCAGCCAATTTGCGAGCCGACGAAAACAAAAGAAGTTCAACGTATTCGATCTCGACACGGAGTCATGTCACTTCCGGACGTTCTTTATCGGCGCTTTCTTCGAGACACCGATGAACTTTCTTCAGGTCAGCTGTGCCCACGCTCGAGTTTCTCTCGACTCATCCTCAAGGTCTTTCTTTTAACCTACCACGGTACTTCCGCAGCTGGACTTCCTGGACTCTCGAACATCTTCGGAGGAATCGGGACGAGCAAGACGCTCCATTGAAAACCGATCGCAGCGACAGTCTCCAGGAAAGGTAAAATCGTCGAGGATGATCGTTACAAGAGGACGATTCGTGACCCGGTCGCTCTCACGCTGCTCACTTCCGCCAGTGAAAGGTGCATACGCGCAAGTACGTCTACGAGTACTTCTCTCAGTATGGGAAGATTCAGCTGTGCTAATGTAAGGCTGGACGGAGTGGGGTCTTCTGGACGGTCAGAAGAGGCTGGAAGGGGCCAGAGGGGCCAGAGGGACCAGAGGGGCCTAATGCCCTTTAAGCGACCAGTCGACGCATCGGCGACGCGCCGTTATAACGGGCGTCTCTGGAAAGAGCTACTGCTGCAGCAGCTCCTAGGACGTCTGGACGCCAATGCGCCGAGAGCAGCTGTGCTTTCTTCCAGTGGTTCTGCTGAAAGGACGAGACAAGATTGCTTATATAATTATTGCGAGCTGTACGGCTGTGCTGCTCTGGGGTATTCGCCAACCTACTGAGACTTCAGGTTTCTCCGAGCGATTCCTAAAAATCCACTATTGCGTGACTATGTACGACGTTATGCTAATGGACATTATCAGGATGGCCTTGATTCCGCGAATTCGTCGTTTGACAAATAGCCTTCTATATTGAAATTGACAACGACCTTGATATCTCGCCTTGGAACGGGAATTTAGAATCCCGATCAAAGCTATAGTAGATTCGCCTTTAGGTCTGCGAGAACAAAAACGAAATCGGGAAGCCGTAGGCCGGCATATGCGCATCACGGATAGTTTTGTAATTCTAATTGACTGAATTTCTAAACCAATCTGTTTTCGAGGCAATTTCGATGCCAAGACATGGTTTTACCGACGACACTCGCTGCTCGACACTGGCGCAACTCTTGGCCAATTTCCAGGCTCGTCATTTTCATCACGTCACTTCAGAAAAGGAACGATCCTCCCTTAGTGCTCGCTAGCGAACTGTTACGTATCCAGAGTGGCTCGTTACTCCTGATCCTGACTCAATATTTCCTATACGGAGTTGGAATTCACTGAGCGGCCTATAGAATGTAAAGGGGAGGGGGGC